CTCATTGATGTTTCTAACCCTCTATCCCTCTCTCTTCCTCTCTGTAAAAAAAAATCATTTAAAAAAAAAAACATATTTAAAAAAACAATCACACTCTGGGGAGGGAGGGTATGTATGGGGGGGCAGTGTTAAAAATATGTACACAGATAATAATTTAATAAAAAAATAAAATAAATAAAAATAAAACAGATTTATAAAAACATTAAAAAAATAAAAATAAAAAACCCCACAAAATACCTTGAGGGGTCCTCGGTAATGACTGCGGGGAGGGGGACTCCCTGGGTGGTGGGGGCAATGAGTGCGAGGTGAGCCACCAGGTGAACAGGACCCTTCCTGCCTGCAGGACCGTAACTGTCCCCGTCCTCGAAGCCCAGGGATGGAGATGGAGCCTCCGTGTGAAAGGAGAGAGTCCTAGCCAGAACTGCCCTGAGGTCAAAGGAAGCTAACCCTCTATAACACTGACAAAAAAAAAAAAAAAAAAAAAAAAAGTTCCCCTGACCCATGTGGCTCAGTGAATAGAGCGTCGGCCTGTGGACCGAAGGGTCCCAGGTTCAATTCCGGCCAAGGGCACAGGCCTGCGTCACAGACTCGATCCCCAGCAGGGAGCGTGCAGGAGGCAGCTGATCCATGATTCTCTCTCATCCATGATGTTGCTATATCTCTCCCTCCCTCTCCCTTCCTCTCTGCAATCAATAAAAATATATGTAACAACAAAAAAAGTTTATCGATTTTCTTTTTAGATCCTCCCCCAAGGATGTTTTTTCCATGGATTTCTCTCACATTTCGCTGATGTGAGAGAGAGACATTGATTGGTTGCCCTTGGCACACCCCCGGAACCAGGGTCAGGAGCCTGCAACCAAGGTCCGGGCCCTTGAGCAGAATCGAACCCAGGACCCTTCAGTCGACAGGTTGATGCTTTATTCACTGAGCCAAACCAGCCAGGGCAAATTTATCGATTTTTTAAAAAAATGTATTTTATTGATTTTTTTTTTTACAGAGATGAAGGGAGAGGGATAGAGAGTTAGAAACACTGATGAGAGAGAATCATCCATCAGCTGCCTCCTAGACACCCCCCACTTGGGATGTGCCGGCAACCAAGGTCCATGCCCTTGACCGGAATCAAACCTGGGACCCTTCAGTCCCCAGGCTAATGCTCTATCCACTGAGCTACACCAGCCAGAGGAAGTTTATTGATTTTTAGAGAGAGAGGAAGGGAGAAAGAAATAGAAACATTGATCACCTGCTCCTGCTTGGCCCTACTGGGGACCGAGCCCACCACCTGGGAATGTCCCCTGGCCAGGAATGGAACTGATGAGCTCTTGGACATGGGACGATGCCAACTGAGCTACACTGTCCAGGCCCAATAACGCTGCCTTTTTATTTTTACTTTTTCAAATGAATTTTTATTGATTTCAGAGAGGAAAGAAAAGGGAGAGAAAGAAACATCCATGATGAGAGAGCATCATGGATTGGCTGCCTCCCGCACGCACGCCCCCCACTGGGGATGGAGCCCACAACCCGGGACCCTTCAGTCCGCAGGCCGACTCTCCATCCACTGAGCCAGGCCAGCAAGGGCTTACTTCTTCCACTTTATCCACTGTGACTGCTCTTTCATTTTTTCTTTTTCTTTTTTTAAAATATATTTTATTGATTTTACACAGAGAGGAATTGAGAGGAACAGAGAGTTAGAAACGTCAATGAGAGAGAAATACCGACCAGCTGCCTCTTGCACACCCCCGACTGGGGATGTGCCCGCAACCAAGGTACATGCCCTTGACGGGAATCGAACCCGGAACCTTTCAGTCCGCAGGCTGACGCTCTATCCACTGAACCAAACCAGTCCCGGCATGACTGCTCTTTCTGTCTGGGTCCCCTTCACCGCTCGCCCGGCCTTTGGTAGGGGACCCCACCCCCCCATCCCACTCCCGCAGCTTGTAGGAGCAAAATTCAGAGCGACCGGGATCTCCCTTCAACTTGTCTGACAGCCAGGCCACCACCCCTCCCCTCTCCCTCCCCAGCCCCTGGGGTCCCCCGCTTCCTGCCCCGCCGCCCCAGCCGTCTCTCAGTGCGGTTTGAGTTAGCTCACACCTCTAGGCCTGGCCTTGCAGCCTCCTTCCCCGACCACACACCTTAGCGGAGAGGAGGGGGGAATGCAGACCGGGTCTCACTAGTCCTAGCAGCAGTAATGTGCTCTTTTCCCAAAAAGATTTTTATTTTAAATATATTTTATTGATTTTTACAGAGAGGAAGGGGGAGAGAGAGAGAGAGAGAGCTAGAAACGTCGATGAGAGAGAAACATCCATCAGCTGCCTCCTGCACACCCCCTATGGGGGATGTGCCCGCAACTAAGGTACATGCCCTTGACCGGAATCGAACCTGGGACCCTTCAGTCCCTTCATCCATTGAGCCAAACTGGTTAGGGGAATAAAAATATATTTTAAATAAAAGTGGGATCAGGGGGAGTGGCCACTGATGGGGGGGGGGAAGGAGGGGGAGTCAAGGTGCCTGGGCACTTGGGATGAGAGGAGGAAAAAGTCTGCAAATACAAGCCAGTTCTGACCAAGGACCCCCGTTGTCGCTAAACGCCCCCTGGTGACCGATCCAGCAAACTGTACTTAACAGTTTCCCATTCATTGGTGTCTCAGCCCCTCTGAGGCCAGGGAGCCTGGGAGCTGCGGATGGATGGCGGTGGTGGTGATTATTATTTATTTATTTTTAGAAATATTATATTGCTTTTTTACAGAGAAGAAGGGAGAGGGACAGAGAGTTAGAAACATCAATGAAAGAGAAACATCGACCAGCTGCCTCTTGCACACCCCTCACTGGGGATGTGCCCGCAACCAACGTACATGCCCTTGACGGGAATCGAACCCGGGACCTTTCAGTCCATAGGCCGACACTCTATCCACTGAGCCAAACCGGTTTCGGCTATTATTTTTAAATGTATATTTATTGATTTCAGAGAGGAAGGAGAGAGAGAGAGAGAGAGAGAGAGAGAGAGAGAGAGAGAGAGAGAGAGAAGCATCCGTGATGAGCGAGCATCTTGCATCGGCTGCCTCCTGCACGCCCCCTTTGGGGGATGGAGCCCACCACAAGGGCAGGTGCCGGGAATCGAACCCTGACCTCCTGGTTCCTAGGTGGATGCTCCAGTGCGCTCTCTCTTTCCTTCTCTCTTCCTCTCTGAAATCAGAAAGAAATATTTAAAAGCCCAGCCAGGTGTAGCTCAGCGGTTAAGCGTCCACTCAGGAACCAAGAGGTCACGGGTTCAATTCCCGGGTTAGGGCACCTGCCCTTGTGGTGGGCTCCATCCCCTGAAGGGGGCGTGCAGGAGGCGGCTGATCCATGATTCTCTCTCACCATTGATGTTTCTATTTCCCTCTCCTTCTCCCTTCCTCTCTGAAATCAATAAAAATGTATTTTGCCGAAACTGGTGTGGCTCAGTGGATAGAGCGTCGGCCTGTGGACTGAAGGGTCCTGGGTTCGATTCCAGTCAAGGGCATGCACATTGGTTGGGGGCACATCCCCAGTTGGGAGGGGGGGTGCAGGAGGCAGCTGATGGGTGTTTCTCTCTCATCGATGTTTCTAACTCTCTATCCTTCTCTTCTTCTCTGTGAAAAATCAATAAAATATATTTTAAAAATATATTAAAAATGTATTTTTAATCAGCCATAGCATTTTCCTCTGGACTCTCTCTTATTATCCATGTGTTGTAATGCTTTTATGTGCAATCCTCTGCAATCATTTCTACCATGTTTTCCTTGCAATGATATCCTTTTCAACATCAGTGCATTATACTCAATTGTTCCACAGATTATTTGCTGCTCTTCTTTTTGACATTTCAGCTACTCATCAAACAATTTTGCTAATTTTCATTTTTGCACCTCTTTTGTGATCATACCTAGATTGAGGAGTGAGAGTATAACATGTCAACTAAAATACTAGGCAAGCAGCAATTTGAACCACAAAGTTGCTGATCACATGCCTGTCGTATTAGAGAACATTGGTTTCTCAAATTTTTTTTTAAATATGTTTTTATTGATTTTGTACAGAGAGGAAGGGAGAGAGATAGAGAGTTAGAAACATCGATGAGAGAGAGTCATCGATCAGCTGCCTCTTGCACACCCGCTTCTGGGGATATGCCCGCAACCAAGGTACATGCCCTTGACCAGAATCGAACCCGGGACCCTTCAGTCCCCAAGCCGACGCTCTTATCCATTGAGCCAAACCGGTCTCGGCTGGTTTCTCAAATTTTTATTCAATAGTACAATCCATTTGATTTGAAAGGAGCCAGTCTAAAAGGCTCTGAATGTATTTCTTCATGTTTAAGTATATTGTTTGCAAAATCCCCCCAAAAAAAGTATTTTAAAAATATTTTTTAAATAAATAAACAAGGGACAGAGCGAGAGGAAGGACGCGCGGGTGGAGGGAGGCGGGTGTGTGCGGGGAGGGGAGGGTGGCCGCGGCCCCACGGGCACCGCAGGGGCAGCTGCCAGCGGGAGATAAGGCGGAGGGAGGAGCTGGGAGCCCGCGGAGGGGCGGAGCGGAGCCGGGGGGCCGCCGCCGCCGCTGCCGCCGCCGCCGCGAGGGGGGAGGGAGCAGCGGCGGAGACACTTCCGCTCCGTCCCGTCCCCGCGCACCCAGCGGAGCTCGCGCGGGGCCGCGCTACGTAACGGGTCGCGAGACCGGCCACGCAGGCGACGCCCGCGACCGAGCCTCCCGGCTGCAGATCGCGCGAGGACACGCCTCCCTCTCGCCCCGCCTCCCTCTCGCCCCGCCCCGCCTCTTCCTTTGTTTCCTCCATCCGGAGACGTATCGCGAGAACTGCGCCGCAAATCTCGCGAGCGCGGATTCGGGCCGGCCGGGCCCGCTGCTCTCGCGGTGTTTGGACGAGACTGCGCCCTTCCTTCCTCCTGGCCGCTCGGCCGCCTTCTCCCCCTTCCCCTCCCGGCCTCCCCTCCTTCCCCGTGGCCCAGCCCCGCGGGCTAATATGGTCTCCGGCGATGGACGCCCCAAGTGCAGGTCAGTGCCGTTCGCCGCCGCCGGGGGCCGGGCAGCTGCGGGCGGGCGCGCGGTCCGGCCCGGCGCCGGGTCCCTGTGTGTCCGCCTGGAGGCGCGGGGCCAGCGTGCGGGCCTCGGGCCTCGGGCCTCGGGCTCGGGTCGCTCCCCGAGGCCTCCCTGCGGGGCCCATTCCGCCCCGGGCCGCTGGCGCCCGGGTCCCGCCGGCTCGCAGTCCCGCTGGGGGCCCCGCCGGCCGCACAGCAGGCCCGGGGCCGGGTCTCCGTGGAAGCGGAGTGGGAGGCGGTCAAGGCCGGGCGCCGGGGGGCCAGGCCCCCGGGCCGCGCACTGCAGCGTGGGGCCTGCACCTCGCGGTGCCCGCCCCGTCGGGTCCGTGAGGTTCGGACGGCGCTGTCAGCGGGCCGGGCTGGCCTCCTCCTCGGACCGAGGGCCCGGCCAGGCCGAGGATGGGGGCTGGGAGTCCATTGTGCCTTCCCTCAAGACCGCCTCCCGCCCCTCCTCCCCAGGGCGTGCGGGCCCCCCAGGCCCCAGCTTTCGTGGTTCAGTCTCGATTCGTGCAAAAACCGGAAGAACGCGTCCTCTTTTTTTTTTTTTTTAAATATATTTTATTGATTTTGTACAGATAGGAAGGGAGAGAGAGAGCTAGAAACATCGATGAGAGAGAGTCATCGATCAGCTGCCTCCTGCACATCCCCCACTGGGGATGTGCCCACAACCAGGGTACATGCCCTTGACCGGAATCGAACCCGGGTCCCTTCAGTCCCCAAGCCGAAGCGCTATCCACTGAGCGACACCGGTTTCGGCAGAACGCGTCCTCTTTTTAAGGAGAATCGGCCCCTTTACTGGGAGGTTTTGTTAACACTTTTTAAAAATATATATATATTTTATTGATTTTTTTACAGAGAGGATGAGTGAGGGATAGAGAGTTAGAAACATCAATGAGAGAGAATCATTGATCAGCTGCCTCTTGCACACCTCCTACAGGGGATGTGCCCGCAACCAAGGTCCATGCCCTTGACCGGAATCGAACCTGTGACCTTTCAGTCCGCAGGCTGACGCTCTATCCACTGAGCCAAACCAGTTTCGGCAACACTTTTATCTTTATTCTCCAGGCCTGTTGGAGTCTTTCTTGGGTTGGGTTGGGTTGGGTTTGATTGCGGTTTTGTCCATGTTGTTGAATGCATTGTCATAATCTTGTCCTTTGATTCTTTTTTTTTAAAAATACACTTTTATTGATTTCAGAGAGGTAGGAAGAGGGAGAGAGAGAGAGAGAGAGAAACATCAATGAGAGAGAATCATGGGTGGTCTGCCTCCTGCATGCCTCCCACTTGGAATGGAGTCTGCAATCCAGGCATGTGCCCTTGACTGGAATCCAACCTGTCAATTCAATCTGCAGGCGGAGGCTCTATCCACTGAACCACACCGGCTAGGCCCTCCCCCCCCCCCCTTTTTTTTTTTTAAAGAAAAGTTAATCCTTGTATCATAATTGTGGCGTCCTCAAGTTGCTGCCTGTACTTATGAAATATTCAGGACGTGTCTTCCCCAAACATCCCTTCACATCATTGAAGTCACTCTCATTGTCCCTTTCCTTTCCAGGTGTTCTTTGTTACCATATTTCAGCACTTAATTCTGTTACCAGTTTTTACTTGATAAGAATCAGGGTCGAGGGCCGAAACCGGTTTGGCTCAGTGGATAGAGCATCGGCCTGCAGACTGAAAGGTCCCAGGTTTGATTCCGGTCAAGGGCATGGACCTTGGTTGCGGGCACATCCCCAGTAGGGGATGTGCAGGAGGCAGCTGATCCATGTTTCTCTTTCATCGATGTTTCTGACTCTCTGTCCCCCTCCCTTCCTCTCTGTAAAAAATCAATAAAATATATTTAAAAATAAAAGAATCAGGGTCGAGAGATGGACTGTACAATACAGTGGACAATAGTGGACTTTTTATACTTAAACTAGCGACCTGGTGCACGAAATTCATGCAGCGGGGGGTGGGGGGGGGATCCCTCAGTTCAGCCCGTACCCCACAGGGATCGGGCATAAACTGGCAGTCTGATATCCCTCTTGCAATCCGGAAGGCTGGATCCTAACCGCTCATCTGTCTGCCTGCCTAGCTGATTGCCCCTAACCACTCTGCCTGCGGGCCCCCACTGGCGCCCTCCCCTCCTGGCCTGATTGCCTCTGCGTCTGCCCTGGCTTTGTCCAGAAGGACATCTGGAAGGTCTCCCAGTCTAATTAGCATATTACCTTTTTATTAGTATAGGTGAATTAAAATAAAAAGTTTTGAGTTTCTGTGGCTCATTGCACAGAGCATAAATACAGCTTTGTTATCACTGCAGAAGAGTCTGTTGATTTCCAGGTGTTTTGCCTCTGAGTAAGATACTTTTTAATTGTGTCCAGTTAACTTGTATTTCATTTTATTTTTTCAGGAAACACCTTTGAGTACCTTATTGAAACATTAAACGACAGTTCAGGAAAGAAGTTCTTCAATGTACCCAAACTTGGAGGCACCAAGTATGGTAATGTTGCTTCAATTTTTTGAGGCTCCTTTCCTTTCTAATAAAAATGCGTTTGTCGCTCTCGCCGGTGTGGCTCAGTGGATAGAGCATCGGCCTGTGGACTGAAGGGTCCCAGGTTCGGTTCCAGCTAAGGGCACATGCCTGGGTAGTGGGAGTGTGCAGGAGGCAGCCGCTCAATGATTCTCTCTCATCATTAATGTTTCTATCTCTCTGAAAATCAATAAAAATACATCTTTTTAAAAATGGAAATCTATTCCCACCGTGTTGTAAAAGGTACAACTACACAGGGCTCTAATGTTTTTAAAACTTTTGGGACCACTTTTGCCGAAACCTGTTTGGCTCAGTGGATAGAGCGTCGGCCTGCGGACTGAAAGGTCCCGTGTTCGATTCCGGTCAAAGGCATGTACCTTGGCTGCAGGCACATCCCCGGAAGGGGGTGTGCAGAGGCAGCTGGTCGATGATTCTCTCTCATTGATGTTTCTAACTCTCCCTCTCTCTTTCTCTCTGTAAAAAATCAATAAAATATATTAAAAAAAAAAAAAACCTTTTGGGACCATTTTTGTCTGAGAAAGAGGTAAGCCCATGCTTTAACTTCTCATTTCAAACCTAAGTTAACCAATGATTTTTTTTTTTTTTTTAACCCGTGTAAACCACTAATACAATTTTAAAAAGCCTGGCTGGTGACATTCTACAGCTATTCATTGTATATATTAATTCTTCTAGTGAATAATGCCCATGATGCTTTGTGGCCCATCCTTTGAATGGGAATCGGCAGGGCTCGCGGACGTGAGTTTTGGCTCCGGGACTGGCTATGGTTTGCTGGCCCGGCACCAGCACTTTGCCAGCACGTGATCGGGGCCCAGTCCTTCTCTGAGGTTTCAGAAGCGCAAACCTGGCTGACCACCAGGTACTGGATGGAATTCTTGGCTTTCGTGACAGTGGAATAGCTTTCTCACCCAGGCCAGTGAATGAAGGGAAGAGCTGTTGAGAAGAGGGATTATTATCATCACATTTCTTTTTTTTTTTTTTTTTTTTTTAATATATTTTATTGATTGTTCACAGAGAGGAAGAGAGAGGGATAGAGAGTTAGAAACATCGATGAGAGAGAATCATCGATCAGCTGCCTCTTGTACACCCCTTACTGGGGATGTGCCCGCAACCAAGGTGCATACCCTTGACCGGAATCGAACCCGGGACCCTTCAATCCGCAGGCCGACGCTCTATCCACTGAGCACACCGGTCCTGGCTATCGTCACGCTTTTTAGTAAAAAACTACTTGAGAAGATGAATGTCATATATTGACATCAGTTTCGGAGAGAGCTTATCTTTACCTTTGTCTTTTTCTTCTTCTTGCGTTATTTGATCAAGAAGGTGGCTTTTGTGTGAGAGAGGGAAGCATCGATGCGAGAGAGAGACTGATTGATTGGGCAAACCCGCAGCCCAGGCATGTGCCCCTGACCAGGGTCCAACCCGTGACCCTCCCGTGCTCGCACCGTGGGGCACACGGGCTCAGGCTTTACCTGTGGATATGGAGGGGCTTGCGTGTTCTAGCTGCCACCAGCAGCATTATCTCATACGTGACGGGAAGAGTCCGGTGTCCTGGAAGGTCCCTGTCGGGGATCTTTGAAGACACGTCTCTCCATTGTCGGAGCCGGCTCCTTCCCGGAGGAGCGGGACTTGGGATGATGTCAGACGGGTCACCGGGCAGTCGGCCTGGTGGGGGCCCGGGGGACAGGAGTCTGGCCTGCGCCGTGGCCGTGGCCGTGGCCGTGGCCGTGGCCGCGGAGCAGCTGCTCAGCAGCCTCCAGCGCCCCCTCCTCGTTCCCATGGTCTCGCTCACCCTTCGTGTTTCCTTTTCTGCCTGTTTCTGTGACCGCAGGACTGGTTGGCCCGCAGAGAGGCAGGACTTGGCTTTCCCAAACTGGAAGTCGTTGCCAACTTCCTGTTTATAAGGAAAGCTGCTGTGCATGTGTGATGTGTGAGTTTTGATGCAAGCTTATTATATAAACCGGTGTGGCTCAGTGGATAGAGCATCGGTCTGCGGACTGAAAGGTCCCAGGTTCGATTCCGGTCGGGGACATGTACCTTGGTTGTGGGCACATCACCAGTAGGGAGTGTGCAGGAGGCAGCTGGTCGATGTTTCTAACTCTATCGCTCGCTCTCTTCCTCTCTAAAAAAAATCAATTAAATATACTTTTTTAAAAAAAAAAAAAAAGCTTATATAGAACTCGGGGCCTGGTGCACGGGGAGAAGGGGGGCGAGCCCCTCAGCCCGACCTGCACCTCTCCAATCTGGGAGCCCTCGCCATTCGGGAGTTTCTGTCTGTCTTTGCAATCATATGAGTGAATTGTCTGGGGCCCCAACCCAGTTTGGTTTGATGCTCACAGAATAATAGAGGCTTTTTTTTTTCTTTCTTTCTTTCTTTGCTTCATTGGTGGAGATTTCCTGGAAGTTTTAGGATATCTTCCCTTCAATTTTTCCTAGGCACTCTGACTTGACTTATGTCTCTCACCTTTGCTTTCCCTCCATCCCCCACCGCAACAGGCACTTGCTCCAGGCTCACTTTGCTTTAGAGTCTAGAAGATCCGCCTGCCACCAGAACTACAATTCCCAGCATTCCCGGTGCTCCCCGCATTCTTGGTTTTCCCTTCCTGCCCTCTGTCCCAAGGCCTCTTGCTCTGCCAAGTCCTCCAAGCCACCAGCTCTCCCTCTCTGCTCTCCATCTGGACCTTGGGGAGCAAGTTCCCTAAGCCTCTCCACTCTATCTGGCGCCCGTGTATGCAAATTAACCCGCTATGTTTGTTAGGTTAATTTGCATACTCACTCCTGATAGGCTGGTGAGCGAGGCAGAGGTACTGTCAGTTTACATTTTTCTCTTTTATTATATAGAATAGGATGGTTGGATTGAAAGTGTGGTGTTCCCTCCACCCTCCACAAATGCTTTTCTTTTTGTACTTCCAATGCACATCCTCTGTTCCAGTCTTTTTATTTATTTATTATTTTTTTAAAAATATATTTTATTGATTTTTTTACAGAAAGATAGGGAGCTAGAAACGTCGATGAGAGAGAAACATCGACCAGCTGCCTCTTGCACACCCCCTACCGGGGATGTGCCCGCAACCAATGTACACGCCCTTGACCGGAATCGAACCTGGGACCTTTCAGTCTGCAGACCGATGCTCTACCACTGAGCCACACCAGTTTTGGCATCTCTGTTCCAGTCTTGACTCTTGAATATAAGGAACAAACACTCACTTAGCCCAGCGCTCAAGGCAGAAGTACCGTTTGCTGACGCCCCAGGACAGGAGGACAGCGGCCCTGCCTCTGGGAACCGCGCCTCCCAGCCGGAGTCTGCTCCGCTCGGCACAGGCTGCCTGGCTCCTGGCCCCGGGTCTCGGACGCTCTTTCCAGTCTGCGCTCCGCAGCACTGGCTCCTTGTGGGAAGCGCCCAGCGTGCTACCCGCCCATTCAGGAAGAACCTCAGGGCTTGTCCCCCACGTGTCACCTGCTGTGGGGGGCTGGGACATGTGCGAGTCCGCCTTCCCTGGCCTTGTCCCCCCGTGGGCCCAGGGTGTTGACACACAGTCCCCCCTTGGCCAGGACGGCCTGCCCCGCCGATGCTCCGCGCACCGCCACGCACTCGCCACCCTCCCCCTGCTCCCAGGGCCTGTTGCCACCTCTGCGTCTGCTGGCCATTTCCCCTCCAGGAGGCCTTTGGTGGTGAAGGCAGGCGCCCGCTGGGTCAAGGGAAGAGGTGCATTGTGGGGCACAGAGCTCCCTGCCAGGAAACATGGATTGAGGAAGCTCTTTCTCTCGGGTTTCAGGTTCCCACCCCTCTGCTCCCTCTGCTCCACCGCAGACAAGCCTCTGCCTGTGAGTTTGCACATGGCCCTGCGGCCGCTCGGCCCCCGCAGCTGCTCAGCCCTGTGGCCGCCCAGCCCCGTGGTATCTCAGTCCTCTGGCCGCTCAGCCCCGTGGCCGCCCAGCTCTGTGGCCGCCCAGCCCTGTGGCCGCCCAGCCCTGTGGCCGCCCAGCCCTGTGGCCGCCCAGCCCTGTGGCCGCCCAGCCCTGTGGCCGCTCAGCTCTGGCCGCCCTGCCCTGTGGCCGCCCAGCCCTGTGGCCGCCCAGCCCTGTGGCCGCCCAGCCCTGTGGCCGCCCAGCCCTGTGGCCGCTCAGCTCTGGCCGCCCAGCCCTGTGGCCGCCCAGCCCTGTGGCCGCTCAGCTCTGGCCGCCCTGCCCTGTGGCCGCCCAGCCCTGTGGCCGCCCAGCCCTGTGGCCACTCAGGACGCCTTTCTGGCCTGTCTGTGCTGCTGGCAGGCCCCTGCGTGAGGGACCCGTGCTCCCGTGTGCTTTCTCACGGGTGTTGGTTGTGGGCCCCCCAGGGCTCGGGCTGCCTCCGGGCCTGCCGGGGAGGCCCCTGGTTGTATGACTTGGCTCTAAGCACTGAGCCACCGGCCAGGGCTCCTCCAGTACCTTCTCTGCAGGCCCCTGGCCTTGAGCAGCTTCTGAGGTTTGCCTGTCCACAGGGGTTTCCACAGAGCGCGTGGGCGGTCTTCTGTCCACTTCGTGGCGAGGGGGCATTGCGTCCAGGAGCCGAGGAATTGGCCTGCAGTCACACACCTTCTGTGAGCAGTTTGGCCTTGGACTCTGCCTTCTACTTTTATTTTTTTTTAAAAATATTTTATTGATTTTTTTTTTTACAGAGAGGAAGAAAGAGGGATAGAGAGTTAGAAACATATTATAGATGAGAGAGACACATCCATCAGCTGCCTCTTGCACACCCTCCACCGGGGATGTGCCTGCAACCGAGGCACATGCCCTTGACCGGAATCGAACCTGGGACCCTTGAGTCCGCAGGCCGACGCTCTATCCACTGAGCCACACCGGTTAGAGCCTGCCCTTCTACTTTTAGTCCAGCTGCCCCTCAGGACCACGCTCCAGGCGGGGCGGTACCAGCTGCCGTGCTCATTGCCCAGGTCGGCTCTGGGGCCGGGCCAGGGGCCCCTGCGTGCCCTCCCCGTCTCAGTGAAGGAGCCTGGCGGAGCCTCTGTTGGGAAGACTCCTGTCCGGGCAGAGGCCGTGCCCACGGGGACGGCATCACACACCGGAGCCGCCCTGAGGAGCTGCAGGCGGGGGCAGGCGGCGGTGTGGAATGGCCTCGTGAGAGCCTCCTGGTTAAATTCCACGACTAAATGTCAAAATGCATCCCAGAGCCAGGAAACCGGCCATCAGCCCGGCGGCTGTGACTCTGCCCGGAGCGGCGCGGCTGCCAGGCTCAGCAGCAGCCTTTGGTCTGGATGCCCCGGGCCTGCGCCCTGGGGGCCGGCTGGACCTGATTCACCCCCCACCTCCTACCCCACCCCCTCCCCGGGCGGTGGCGGCGCAGCCTCTAGGCCCAGCACCTGCAGGATCTCCCTCCGCTGAAGTTTGTGCCGCCATCCTCCTGCTCCAGCTTCCCGTCACCGGCTGGTCTGTTATCTGTCGTTACAGCATCCGCTTTCCGGATTCTCAGGATCCCAGAGATTCCGGCGGGAGGGCGGGGGTTATCCAGCCAGTTCTCTCCCAGCCCCGGTCAGCCCAGTGCTGGGTGCTCCAGGTGGGACGTGCCCGTGGCTCAGGCAGCATCCTGTGCCGAGGAAGCGCCGTGGTTAGTGATGGGCACACGGGTGGGAGTGCAAGGACAGGGCCTTCCTTAGCAGGCGCGGCCGGTCACAGGCTCCAGCAGGCAAGCTTAACATCAGCCATCACTGACTGACAGGACAGCGGTCCCCCTGTATCCCTCCCGGGTCCCCCCCAGCAGGCAAGCTTAACATCAGCCATCACTGACTGACAGGACAGCGGTCCCCCTGTATCCCTCCCAGGTCCCCCCAGTCCCGAGGTTCAGGCTGTGCGCTGGGCAGAGTGATGGGGTTCGCCCACCTGCTCCATTCCTCTGGAACGTGGGCTCGGGGTATCTGCTCGCCGCTGTGCAGCCGTCCCGGCCATCGGCGGGGTGTCTCGGTGCTGGTGTCGCCCCCTTCTATCCCAAAGCTGGGGGGCGGGGGGAGATGCTGGCGATGCAGACGTGCCAGAGAAGCCTCAAGGTCTTCCTTTACGGGAAAAGCGAACGTTCTGGACTTCAGAAAGCCGCTGCACGTCCAGGCTGCTGAGCTGGTTAGAACGAGTCCCCTCTGAGATTGCCCAGCTTGTAAGTCAGCCTTCACCAGGGGCGTAGGGATGGGAACACTCAGCCCTTCCGAGGTTGGGTGCTCCGTCCACGGGGGTCCTGGCCCGGGACCCTGCAGGTGCGGGGACGGTCCTCGGGAGAGGGGAGGTGCCGTGCGTGGGGCTGGCGGAGTCGCGCTCGGAAGGAGCTCGGCCTCGATCGCGGGGCCGGGGGCTGTGTGGCCTGGGTGCTGGCGGCGGGGTGGGCCGGCGGGTGCCACCCCGTCCCTGTGCTTCCGGCAGCCGGTAGAGCTGGTGTGTGGTCCGTTCAGGCCTGCTTGTTGCAGGAACGCTGCGTAGTGGGTGGGTGTGCTTCCTGCTCCATCAGAGACGCCCTGTGGGTGGGTGTCAGCAGCCTGGCCCCGCTCCCCTTCCCTGGGGTCTGGCCCAGGTCTCCCCTGGCCTTGTGAGGTCTCCATCTTCCTTCTGCATCGGCAGCTGTGGCCTTCTCGACGGGAACTTGCTCTTCGCTGTGCATGGCTGGACTCGGGGAGATGGGATGAAGGGGCGCTCCCGCTGACAGCTTCAGGGCTGGGCGCTCCGGCCACTTCCTGGGTCGATGAAGGGGTTCGGGGAGTGGCCGTCGTTGTTCATCCTGACCCCCACATCGGGCTCGTTCAGGGCGCGGCCCCAGAGGGAGCTGTGGGAGCAGCGCTGGGCATCAGTGGACTGTCCTTGTTGCAGGCGTTTTCGCTGAACAGCGAGGAAGCACGCGTTTTTGAGAAAGAAAGATAAATTGTAAGTTTGTAGCAAGGATTCTACTGGAGTGTCCGAGTTCTGTGCCCACGGGGCCCTCAGACTGTGCTTGCCGTCCTCACACGGACAGTCTGGTCCCAGGCCTGGCCGCAGGCGCGCTTTCTCCTCCTCGTACCCGCGGGGCAGCGGTTCCCGTGGGAAATGGCGGCGATGGACACATAACATGCACGGGGCAGCTGTCCTTCGCCCCTCACAACCGTGAGCCTGCCCTTGCCCCACCCGGCGTAGGTGGCAGTGGCAGAATCACAGCATCCGTGTCACTGCCGTGTGTGTCCTTCGTGCGTGTCCTGCTGGGGAGGAGGCGCAGCCAGGCAGCGCGGAGCAGATGCTGAGATTTCTAGCCTGTCCCTCCCCTGTCCCTCTGATATCAGACAGCAACACATTGACCGGACGTGTGCTTGGTAGACTTCCTTTCTCGCCGAAAAGGTGGTGTGTGCTGTGAGCACTGCTTTCCTGTGAGTCTGTCCTGGCGGCCACGCCTCGTCGGGGGCTCCCTGCCCTCAGACAGCTGTGTCCCCCCATCGTGTGGTCACATCCCCCCGTCTGCCCTCCCCGGGGGCAGCCTCCTGGGTGAAAACGTTAATGTCGAACCTGATTAACCCCAGTCATCGAGGTCAAAAGATGCTTTTCAGGAAGTGAATTGACTCAGCTGCGTCCCTGACTCACTGTGAAACTTGAGCCATTTTTGATGGAAACGTTGTAAACCTATTACAGACTTTTACACAGTGGGACCCACATTTGTCTTAAAGGACTGTCTTTGTTGTCGTACTGAATTCCCATTTTCTGTGGTTTTTAGTTTCTCTCTGTCTTCCCTGGACGTTTGTGTGCGCGCACCAGTCTTACGTGCCCATGTCAGCACGCGTGTGTGAAGTCCTGTCTCTGCTTTTTCGGGGCCTGCTTACACGTGGGGCCTCCGAGGGACAAGTCCTGGTGCTCACAGGATGCACTTTGTTCTCTGTTTACTAGAACGAAATACTTGTAAATTGAGAAACTATGTTCTTTTTTATTTTTAATTTCTTTATTAATTAAGGTATCAATGTTATAATCCATTCCAATCCCCCACCCTCCCCACGCATGCCCCCACCCCCCTATTGTCCCTGACCACTGGTTAGGCTCATATGTGTGCACACAAGTCCTTTGGCTGATCTCTCCCTTTTATCCCCACCCTCCCTCTGAGGTCCGACAGTCTGACCCATGGCTCCTTCTCTCTGGGTCTGTTCTTGTTCATCAGTCTATATATTTTTTTAAAAATATTTTTATTGATTTTTTACAGAGAGGAAGGGAGAGAGAGAGAGAGCTAGAAACGTCGATGAGAGAGAAACATGGACCAGCTGCGCTTCCTGCACACCCCCTACTGGGGATGTGCCCGCAACCAACGTACATGCCCCTGACCGGAATCAAAACCTGGGACCTTTCAGTGCGCAGACCAACGCTCTATCCACTGAGCCACACCGGTTTCGGTCATCAGTCTATATTGTTCACCATTTCCCCCAGATGAGTGAGATCGTGTCCTATAAGAACCGAAAATGAGACAAGCAATGATGGTTATGCTGAGAGGCAAAGGAATCAGTCTGTATTGATTTCCTTTCTGGGCCAACAGTTCTTTTGAGACCCAATTTCAATGTCAAACAGTTCCTTATGTGTACCTGTCAGCAATGATATTTCAGTTCTGGATGGTGGACACATGGTGGTGATGCAGGTCCGACCCTCTCTGGTTTGGTGCATCTGTGTCTTTAAAAAAAAAAAAAAAAAAAAAAAAAAAAAATTTATTGATTTTAGGAGAGGGGAGAGGGAGATGGGAATATCAATGAGAAATATCAACAGGCTGCCTCCTGCATGCCCCCTACTGGTGACCCAGCCGCAACCCAGGCCTGTGCCCTGCCCGGGAATTGAACTGTGACCTCTCGGTGCATGGGCAGCCACTGAGCCACACCGGCCGGGCAGTGGCCCTGTGCCTTTAACTCTGTTAATTGAGTCCTTATACGCCCCGTTGTGACTGTCCTGAACGTTGTCTCTCGAACCAGACGCCCTGCCGTACTCCGTGCGGGTCCTGCTGGAAGCGGCGGTGAGGAACTGCGACGGCTTCCTGCTGAAGAAGGAGGACGTGCTGAGCATCCTGGACTGGCGGGCCACGCGGGGCCATGTGGAGGCGCCCTTCTTCCCCGCCCGCGTCCTCCTCCAGGACTTCACGTGAGTGGCCGCTGGTCCCGAGCACCGCGGGCGTGTCATCCGTGAAAGGCCCTGGCTCTGGCTTTGAGTATTATTAGTTTATACATTTTTTTAAATTGCCCTTTCGAGCCCTGGCCAGTGTTGCTCAGTGGTTAGAGCGTCGGCCTGCGGACTGAAGAGTCTTGGGGGTTCAGTTTTGGTCAAGGGCACATGCCCAGGTGGTGGGCTCGATCCCCAGTGGGGGGCGTGCAGGAGGCAGCTGATCCGTGATTCTCTCTCATCATCGATGTTTCTACCTCTCTCTCCCTCTCCTTTCCTCTTTGAAATCAATAAAGAAATAACACTTTTTTAAAAAAATAGTCTTGCCCTAGCTGGTTTGGCTCAGTGGATAGGGTGTCGGCCTGTGGACCAAATGGTCCCAGGTTCGATTCCGGCCAAGGGCACATGCCCGGGTTGTGGGCTCCATTCTCACCACCCCCCTCCCCCCATTGGGGGGTGTGCGGGTGGCAGCCAATCAGTGATTCTCATTGATGTTTCTCTCTCTCTCTCCCTCTCCCTTCCTCTCCGAAATCAATAAAAAATTTAAAAAGATAAAATTTAAAAAAGACTTAAAAAATTGCCCTTTCTAAACTGAAGCAATTCTTTAAAATTTAGGTGCTTGTTTCTCATGTTCTTAATTTCAAAACCACTTTTGTTCAGCTGCGTCCCTGTCGTCTCGCCAGCTCAGGCTTTCAGACTTCTGCGCACACTGACGGCTGCCCCCCTCCCAGGCCTTTCCCGCCACGGTGCCTGCCCGGTGGGCTCCGTGGGCCTGGGGCAGATCCAGGCTGGCCCCTCCCGGAGCCAGAGCCCACGCCCTCCGAAGGGCCTCGCTGCCCTGGGGCCAGGGAGGCGTCGCTAGGAGAGGTGCCCTGGGTCGATGTCAGAGGAGGGCAGGGTTAGCTGGCAGAGCGCATGCCCTGGGCCCCGGGCGGCAGGGTTCCTGCTCACAGGAGCCGCTGCCCCTGAAGGCCTTTGCTCAGTGCTGGTTGCCTGGCGGCGGGAGTGTGTCCAGTGGGTAACTGAGGGCCAGCGGGAAGGCACTGGACTGGGAGGGCCAGGGCCCAGGAGAAGGCAGCGTCACGTCACATGGCAGGCAGTGGGGAGGGGTGCCATCCGCCGTTCCCGAAGTTCTCCTGTGTCTGAGTATCACCTCTGAGCGCTCACTGTCTCAGCATCTCGTTGGTCATCAGTCAGGGAGCGTCCAGCTCTGGGTAGCAAGGCCATTGTCAAGCACGAATGCAGATTAAAAAGGGGTCCTTTTATTTTATTTTTAAATATGTTTTTATTGATTTTACAGAGGAAGGGAGAGGAAGAAAGAGAGAGAAACATCAGTGTTGAGAGAGAATCACTGATCGGCTGCCTCCTGCACGCCCTCTACTGGGGATCGAGCTTGCAACGGAGGCATGTGCCCTTGGCCGGAATCGAACCTGGGGCCCTTCCGTCCACAGGCTGATGCACTATCCACTGAGCCACACCGGTTAGGCCAAATAGATTTTTTTTCTTTTTTTTTTTTTTTTTTTAATATTTTATTGAATTTTTTACAGAGGGGAAGAGAGAGGGATAGAAAGCTAGAAACATCGATGAGAGAGAATCATCCATCAGCTGCCTCCTGCACGCCCCCCACTGGGGATGTGCCCACAACCAATGTCCATGCCCTTGACCGGAATCGAACCTGGGACCTCTCAGTCCGCAGGCCGACGCTCTATCCACTGAGCCACACCGGTTTCGGCCAAACGGGCCCTTTTTAAATACAGAAACGGGTAAGTGCGTCTTCCAGTGTGCGCCCCTGTGCGGGACAGCAGGGCTCAGTGTGCCCTCTGCTTCCAGGGGCATCCCGGCCATGGTGGACCTCGCGGCGATGCGGGAGGCGGTGAAGACGCTGGGCGGGGACCCCAAGAGAGTGCACCCTGCCTGCCCCACGGACCTCACCGTCGACCACTCTCTGCAGATCGACTTCAGCAAATGGTGCCGTGGGGCCCACGGGCGGGCATGCGGGGGAGTGGAGGGGGATCCATGCTGGGGGGTATGTGTGTGTGTGTGTGTGTGTGTGGCTTGGCGTGTGCGGGCTGGGGTGTGTGGGTGTGTGGCCTGGCGTGTGCATGCTGGGGTGTGTGTGTGGCCTGGCGTGTGCGTGCTGGGGTGTGTGTGTGTGAGGCCTGGCGTGTGCGTGCTGGGGTGTGTGTGTGTGTGTGTGTGGCCTGGTATGTGCGTGCTGGGGGGTGTGTGTGTGGCCTGGCATGTGCGTGCTGCGGTATGTGTGTGGCCTGGCGTGTGCGTGCTGGAGTGTGTGTGTGTGTGTGTGTGTGTGGCCTGGCGTGTGTGGGCTGGGGTGTGTGTGTGGCCTGGCGTGTGCGTGCTGGAGTGTGTGTGTGTGTGTGTGTGTGGCCTGGCGTGTGCGTGCTGGGGTGTGTGTGTGTGTGGGTGTGTGTGGCCTGGCGTGTGCGTGCTGGGGTGTGTGTGTGTGTGTGTGGCTTGGCATGTGCGTGCTGCGGTATGTGTGTGTCCTGGCGTGTGCGTGCTGGAGTGTGTGTGTGTGAGGCCTGGCGTGTGCGTGCTGGGGTGTGTGTGTGTGTGTGTGTGGCCTGGCATGTGCGTGCTGGAGTGTGTGTGTGTGTGGCCTGGCATGTGCGTGCTGGAGTGTGTGTGTGTGTGGCCTGGCATGTGCGTGCTGGAGTGTGTGTGTGTGAGGCCTGGCGTGTGCGTGCTGGAGTGTGTGTGTGTGTGGCCTGGCATGTGCGTGCTGCGGTATGTGTGTGTCCTGGCGTGTGCGTGCTGGAGTGTGTGTGTGTGAGGCCTGGCGTGTGCGTGCTGGAGTGTGTGTGTGTGAGGCCTGGCGTGTGCGTGCTGGAGTGTGTGTGTGTGTGTGTGTGTGTGTGGCCTGGCGTGTGTGTGCTGGGGTGTGTGTGTGGCCTATCGTGTGTGTGCTGGGGTGTGTGTGTGGCCTGGCGTGTGCGTGCTGGGGTGTGTGTGTGTGGGGGTGTGTGTGGCCTGGCGTGTGCGTGCTGGGGTGTGTGTGTGTGTGTGGGTGTGTGTGGCCTGGCGTGTGCGTGCTGGGGTGTGTGTGTGTGTGGGTGTGTGTGGCCTGGCGTGTGCGTGCTGGGGTGTGTGTGTGTGTGTGTGTGTGTGGCCTGGCATGTGCGTGCTGCGGTATGTGTGTGTCCTGGCGTGTGCGTGCTGGAGTGTGTGTGTGTGAGGCCTGGCGTGTGCGTGCTGGGGTGTGTGTGTGTGTGTGTGTGTGTGGCCTGGCATGTGCGTGCTGCGGTATGTGTGTGGCCTGGCGTGTGCGTGCTGGTGTGTGTGTGTGTGTGTGTGTGTGTGGCCTGGCGTGTGTGGGCTGGGGTGTGTGTGTGGCCTGGCGTGTGCGTGCTGGGGTGTGTGTGTGGCCTGGCGTGTGTGTGTGTGTGTGGCCTGGCGTGTGCGTGCTGGGGTGTGTGTGTGGCCTGGCGTGTGTGTGTGTGTGTGGCCTGGCGTGTGCGTGCTGGGGTGTGTGTGTGGCCTGGCGTGTGCGTGCTGGGGTGTGTGTGTGTGTGGGTGTGTGTGGCCTGGCGTGTGTGTGCTGGGGTGTGTGTGTGTGTGTGTGTGGCCTGGCGTGTGCGTGCTGGGGTGTGTGTGTGTGTGTGTGGCCTGGCGTGTGCGTGCTGGGGTGTGTGTGTGTGTGTGTGTGGCCTGGCGTGTGCGTGCTGGGGTGGTGTGAAGAGCTGAGTTTCTCTCATTAACCGGCTTTTGTTCCCTCGTGTGACTGACAGTGCGATACAGAACGCGCCCAACCCTGGAGGCGGGGACCAGCCCAAAGCAGCCAAGCTCTCGCCGCTCAAAGCGCCAGCGCCGGCCAGGAGGCTGCCCTGCCGGGGCCCGGCCGCCTGCCGGGGGCCCTGCGAGCCGGGGGAGCCGGGCGCGGGCCGCGGCGCCGGGAGGCCGTCCATGCAGATCGAGAACACGCCCCTGCTCTGCCCTTTCCACCTGCAGCCGGTGCCCGAGTATGTACGGCCTTCTTCCTCTTACCCTGCGCTGGCTCCCTGGGAACCCGTCCCCCCGTTCCCTCCACCTTCCCCGCACCCCCAGCCCTGCTCCGGGACCGGACTGTCTGTGTGGGATGCTGCCTTGATCGCCCTGTGTCCCAGCAGGGCACACCGTTAGGTCGGCTCTGCCCCAGGAAGGAACCATTAGGCTTCCCTGTGAGTGTGGTTAATTTCCTGACTCGTAGGCAGAGCAGCGTCCTGCCAGGCACATGCTCAGTATTCATCCGTCTTCCTTCTGTGGATTCCCTGTTTACTTATAGTTCCGGCTCTGCTCCCTACGAGGAGGGCTTTATGTTGGCTCCTCCATAACACCGTGTCGTTGTGTGTGATCACTGACTGAGCCGATTCAGATGCCGGACAGCCGGGCGGTGCAAGTTAAATTTTTTATTTTTTTTATTTTAGTTTTGGCTATATTGAGGTACATGGAGGCTATAGGGACTTCTTGTTCCTCCTTCCTAAGAGCTCACTATGGCCTGTGGGCCTTGGCCCTCCATTGTGGCATCTTATGCCCTCGCCCCTCATTCCCGCTGCCCAGTGTTTGGACTCTGAGATCACCATCTCCTCTTACACAGAGATTCTTGGGAAGGAGCGTCTATTGCCTCGAACATCACTGGCTTTTTATTGTCTCTGTAACTGGCAGCGTGTGGAGGGCCAAGGTGGTATATTTTTATTTCTAAAAACCCAATGTGGGGTAACTCTTCCCTTCAGTTCTAAGTCTAAATTATAAAACAGTAAGATGGGTTCCATGTTGTCCGGGCTGTGTAAAAAGTAGTAACTGTGTGTGCCGCGGCGTGTCAGGGGTGTCCTCACTGCAGGCGCAGGCAGAGAGGATGGCCCTTTAAGGCCCCAGGTGCTGCGACTGGAGTAATTGGGAGGTTCATTCAGATGCTGCCCCCCCCCCCGGGGGGGGGTGGGGGCTGCCCGCCTGTTGGCCACAGGTGCTGGGTCAGGAGTGATTAGGAAGTCTCCCCAGAGACCACCGCTCAGCAGTGAATTATTAACGTGATCTTTGTATTGAAAACCTCGCCTATTGAACAGCTATAAGCATCTGGGCCCTGGAGGGCACGTGTAATTTACGTTTATTGATATTCAATCAAGCCTTAATCACCAGCTGGGCTGTAACGATTTTAAAACCTCTGTTAGATGCAGTGAGGTCCCTGCTGGGCTCTGTCCTGCCTGGAGGGAATGAGTCCCGAGCCCACCTGCAGCCCATGGGGGGAGGGGGGGGTGCAGAGGCGTGGGGGCGAGCTGCTCCTTGCAGGCAAAACGGGCCCTCCACGCCCCTCCCCTCCACGGTGAAAGGAGCTGGTGCTGGCCACGGCCCTGCCAGGAGGCCCAGGTGGCACGCTCACGCTGATGGTGTGTGAGCTGCCACCGCCTCTGCTGTCAGAGACCAGCCACGCTTACCCCTGATTTTATACTAGTTTTGCCACGACTCCCAGCAACATCCAGGAAGGGCAATGGGGGTCACGTGCGGCGTGGCCTTACGGGCAGGTATACTCCGTGTCCTTGCGGGCGCTGCCTAGCGGGTCACCTAGGGGCCCCACTGCCTTGTGGGAAAGGCGTGGAGTTCCCCGGATACTGTCCATCGGTGATGGAAGGGAGACCGGGAGACCCGGGAGAGGCGCGGCTCTTTTTACACACACTCTGATGCCCTCTCCCTCCCCGCAGGCCTGAGACAGTGTTAAAGAACCAGGAGGTGGAATTCGGCAGGAACCGGGAGAGGCTCCAGTTCTTCAAGGTATAGATGCAGAGGGCACTTTAATTGCAGGTGCGGGGTTTATATCGAGGCCAGTGGGTTTTTTAAATATATTTTATTGATTTTTTTACAGAGAGGAAGGGAGAGGGATAGAGAGTTAGAAACATCGATGAGAGAGAATCATCGATCAGCTGCCTCCGCAGGCTGATGCTCTGTCCACTGAGCCACACCGGTTTCGGCAAGGCCAATGGGTTTCGAACTTACAGCAGTGGTGGGCGGCTTCCCCCACCCCAGCCCGGGACACAGCGGGAAGCTCTGGGATGTTGTTCTGTGACTTACCTGTGTCTAACAGGCTGCCGGGTGAGTGTGGAGGGTCCGTCTGTAGACTGGGACCACACTGGCCATTGGTCAGATATTTTAAATATATTTTTTTATTGATTTTTTTTACAGAGAGGAAGGGAGAGAGAGAGCTAGAAACATCGATGAGAGAGAATCATCGATCAGCTGCCTCCTGCACACCCCCCACTGGGGATGTGCCCGCAACCAATGTACATGCCCCTAACCGGAATCGAACCTGGGACCCTTCAGTCCCCAAGCCGACGCTCTATCCACTGAGCCACACCGGTTTCGGCTGGTCAGATACTTTAGTGTCCGTGTGTACGCCGTGATGGTGAGCACACATCCGTGGGACGCACTCACGCCGCGTCTCTTTGCACTTAACCCAGTGGTGTTCGCGCGCCTTCCGGAACGTGGCCCTGGTCCCGCCCGGCACGGGCCTGGCGCACCAAGTGAGCCTGGAGTACCTGTCCCGGGTGGTCTTCGAGGAGGAGGCCCTGCTTTTCCCGGACAGCGTGGTGGGCACGGACTCCCACATCACCATGGTCAACGGCCTGGGCGTCCTGGGCTGGGGTGAGTGCCGCCGCTGCCCCCGGCGGAGGGCGGGGGCCTCGCAGGACGCGCCGGGTCCGGTGGCCGCCGAGACCGGGGCTCCTCCCGGGCAGCAGGAAGGGAGAGCTTAGCTCCCGTGGGTGGGACGGGATGGGGCGGTCGGGAGGGTTATTTACTTTTAAATATTGTTTTATTGATCTCAGAGAGGAAGGAAGAGAGAGAGAAACATCAGTGATGAGAGAGAATCACGGATCAGCTGCCTCCCGCATACCCCCACACTGGGGATGGAGCCCCCAACCTCCCCACCTGGACATGTGCCCTGACTGGGAATCGAACCCCCGACCTCCTGGCTCCTGGGTCATCGCTCAACCACAGAGACATACCTGCTGGGCTAAGGGAGGGTTTGGGAAATGTGTGTTCTCTCGGGGTTATGTCTTGAGTGAGTGACCCTATTTACTCTAACGGGACTCAGTGTCTCCTGAACTTAGGACAACGGTGAGATCGGGGTCTCGGCATGTGCGCGAGGAGGCCCGGGTTCCGAGCCTCCCCCCGAGTCCTGCGCTCACAGTGCTTGCGTCTCGCTGCAGGGGTCGGAGGCATCGAGACGGAGGCCGTGATGCTGGGATTGCCCGTGTCCCTCACGCTGCCCGAGGTGGTGGGCTGCGAGCTGACAGGCTCCTCCAACCCTTTCGTCACGTCCATCGACGTCGTGCTGGGCATCACCAAGGTATGTGCGTGGTGCTGGCGAGCCCCCCCCCCCCCCCCCCCCCCCCCGTCCCGGAGGCCAGGCCATGGGGTCGCTGCTCGCCGGCCGCCTCCCTCGTCCCCCTCACAGCCAGAGGGTGGTGCTTTTCCCGCCTCCAACTGAGAAAGAGGCGCCGTGAGGCTGACGGGCTCTCCAAGGGCCCGGGCTGGCCAGGGAGGGGGCAGCACTCCCAGCGCGAGTTCTGGAGCCCTCCCTGCCCCTGGCCCCTGCCTCAGCCTCAGCCCCAGCACCTACCCCAGCCCCTGCCTCAGCCCCTGCCTCAGCCCCAGCCCCTGCCCCTGCCTCAGCCCCAGCCCCTGCCCCAGCCCCTGCCTCAGCCCCAGCCCCTGCCCCTGCCCCTGCCTCAGCCAATGCCTCGGCCCCAGCCCCTGCCCCTGCCTCAGCCACTGCCTCAGCCCCAGCCCCTGCCCCTGCCCCTGCCCCTGCCTCAGCCACTGCCTCAGCCCCAGCCCCAGCCCCTGCCCCTGCCCCTGCCTCAGCACGCAGCTGGGGGCTCTGTGGGTGTTGGGAAAGTCTAGTCTCCTTTAACATGTCACGCAGTCACCTGCCCCTTCGGGACCACTGCTCTACCCGGGGTCCTTTCAGAAATACGTCTGCATTGATCTCAGAGAGGAAGGGAGAGGGAGAGAGAGAAACATCCATGATGAGAGCGTCACGGGTTGGCTGCCCTCTGCAAGCCCCCCACTGAGGATGGAGCCCTCATCCCAGGAATGTGCCCTTGACCGGAATCAAACCTGATGCTCTATCCACTGAGCCACACCGGCCAGGGCTTGGCAGGCTGCTCTGGTTTCTTCACAGCACTGCACGAAGGTCTCCAGTGACCGCTGTCCGCACCCCCGGGACTCTTGGTGCTTGCTGACTTGGTTTTATTGTATTTTGACACGAAGTCCACGTAATGGCCTGTATCAGAGGAGAGAGCCCTGCGGGGCTTAGACGGGATTGTTCCCCGGCTCAGGCTGTCACAGTGTGATCATGTGACTCCGTTCACATGATGAATTCCCGCACCTGGGACCCGCTCCCCGGGGGTCGGCAGTCGGTTGTTGGGGGGGCGGGGATCTTCAGGACGTCCGCAGGGAAGAACGTGCTGCCCCCTCCCGGCACGCAGTATTGATCCTTCCCCCTTTGGGAAGCCTTTGACACCTTGCAGAAATGATTGATTTGTGTATGGACCAAAGGTCAAGAAGCTAAATTGGTAATTACAGCCTATTCCTGAAGGAAGAGGAGCATCCCATTATGTTTCCATGGAAATCGATTCTTCCCTGCAGCATCTCAGACCCCCCCCCTGGCTGCATCCTTAAAGAAACAGTACCCTGAGCCTGGCTTTAACATTTTGACCTTCGGGCACAGAGCTGATTACTGAAGATGGTACCTGGTGGAGGTCCGGTCCTATTCACGGTCTTTACAGGGTTAATCCTGTGGTTCTCAAATCCTCACTGTTTGGCGAAGGCAGCCTCTTGGTGTATCTAACCTGTCTCGCTCTTACTGGGTAGTGACTAAGAAAAAGGCCGTTAGGCTGAAACCGGTGTGGCTCAGTGGGTAGAGCGTCGGCTTGTGGACTGAAGGGTCCCAGGTTCGATTCTGGTCAAGGGCATGTACCTTGGTTGCGGGCACATCCCCAGTGGCAGGTGTGCAGGAGGCAGCTGATCGATGTTTCTCTCTCTCTGATGTTTCTAACTCTATCCCTCTTCCTCTCTGTAAAAAATCAATAAAATATATATTTTTTTTAAAAAAAGAGAAGAAAAATGCCGTTAAGGAATTAAGTCTGGAGTCACCTGGTAAATCCCATCAAAATGGAACTCCCCTGCAACGATGATTGCTGTGAATGTGTGGACAGGAGCTGGGATGTGCAGGATGTATAGCTGTGTTCCTATACGCAGCGTGATCGCCGCTTGAGTATTTAATTCAGCCCTAGGTGCCATCGGTGGCTGGAAACCCGGTTACTGTATGTGCTGCTCAGCGAGGAAAAGGCATGCACCGGGATCCACCCTGCACCCCGTCTCAGAACGGGGACGCGGAAATCCCAGCCATGAGCGGCACGCCCTTTCCCGCCCAACACTGACGCTGACCTCCCTTCTGCCCGTTTATCTCAGAACGCCTGGACCCTGGCGAGCGTGGGCCATGCAGCAGCACCGCCCTCTGCTTCCCTTCTCCGGGGTGGAGCCTGGGGTGCAGGGTTTTCGGGGAGTCGGAGCCCTCGCGTTGCTCACCGTGCGTCTGTGTCCCGCACACAGCACCTCAGGCAGGCGGGCGTGGCCGGGAAGTTTGTGGAGTTTTTCGGAAGTGGGGTCTCGCAGTTGTCCGTGGTGGACCGGACGACCATTGCCAACATGAGTCCGGAGTACGGTGCTACCCTCAGCTTCTTCCCTGTGGACAGCGTCACGCTAAGGCACTTAGCGCACACAGGTAAGGAGCCGGTGGGTCTGGTGCGTAACCACGCTGCCCTCCCATGCGTCTGTCCGATGTGCTTCACGGTGAGTCACTGCCTTGGTTTTTTATGTTGATGAAATTATGTGATTTGGGGACAATGGTTCACATAAACCATCAGATGAATTTTTATTTTTTTAAAATATATTTTTATTGATTTTTTACAGAGAGGAAGGGAGAGGGATAGAGAGTTGGAAGCATCCATGAGAGAGAATCATCGATCAGCTGCCTCTTTCACACCCCCCACTGGGGATGTACCTGCAACTAAGGTACATGCCTTTGACCGGAATCGAACCCGGGACCTTTCAGTCCGGAGGCTGATGCTCTTTCCACTGAGCCAAACTGGTCTCGGCCATCAGATGACTTTTTATAGCCTTAAAGTCTTCGCGGACCCATTGAGACATAGCTTAAAGGGCAGGTCTGTGCCTCCTGTCCCCTTAATTCCCTTGGTGAGGGGCCCGCCCTGCCCAGCGTCCCTGGTCCTGCTGCGATCTGCCGAGGGGCTGCCAGCTGCTCAGAAAGGCTCTTGAGCGCTGCCCAGTGCTGATTCGCAGAGAAGCCAGTTCTGGGAGCTCCGTAATTTGTAACGTGTCTCTTGCTCATCCTTGGATCTCAGCGCCTTTCCCCCGAGGTTTCAGAACCCCTCACCGGGTTTCCGCTGTTTGTGTTCCAGGTTTTGACAAAGCCAGACTCAGGTCGATGGAGACCTACCTGAAGGCTGTGAAGTTGTTCCGGGGTGAGCAGAGTGACGCGGGGCAGCCGGAGTACTCCCAGGTGAGGGCAGAGCCGCCGGGCCGGGGAGCGCCGAGCCCGGCCTCTGAGGTCTGTCAGCTGTGTGAGCCGACGAGCCGTGCAGCCTCCTGCCTCCGTGTCCCCGTCGCTGAGTGCGAAGGGGACGCTGCCACACGGATTCATACGAGAGGAGGTGCACGTTCCTTAGGACAGGCTCAGTGCTGACAACTGTTGTTACTACTAGAGGCTCAGTTCATGCACAGGGCACTGGGGGGTGTGCCTCAGCGGCCTGCACCCTCTCCAATCCGGGACCCCTCGGGGGATGTACCCATGGGATCGGGCCTAAATCAGCAGTTGGACATCCCTTGCAATCCAGGACAGCTGGCTTCTAACTGTTCGCCTGCCTGATCACCCCTAACCGCTCTGCCTGCTGGCCTGCTCACTCCCAACTGATCCCCACTGCTGGCCTGATTCCCCCCCAAAATGCCATCACCTGCTGGCCTCATGGCCCACAACGGCCCTCCCTAGCCAGAGTCCCTCCATGGCCAGGCGCTGCCATTTGTGGCGGAGTGATAGTCAATTTGCATATTTCCTTCTTGTTAGATAGGATTATTGTTATTAACACGTTCTCTGTGGCCCTGCTCCGAGCTCACTCACTAGTTGTACGTAGGTTTTTCTTTCAGTGAAGCGGAGAAAGGAAGGCTCGCTCAGCCCAGGCAGAGAGGGCGGGTCTGAGCCGAGGCAGGGCGTGTCCAGATCCCAGGCTCCGGCAGAGACGGTGGGAAGAATTCACGTAGAGGACACCACCGGTGTTGGTGTGGCAGTTTGCATATGCATCTGAGGTCTTGCCTTTAGCACGTCTTCATATATTTCTTAAGTTAAATGGGGTTTTAAATACCTTTGGTGGGTGTGTTTCCCCATTACAACACGTTGCACTTAGAAAATACAAATATAGCCGAAACCGGTGTGGCTCAGTGGTAGAGCGTCAGTCTGCGGACTGAAAGGTCCCAGGTTCGATTCCGGTCAGGGACATGTACGTTGGCTGCGGGCACATCCCCAGTAGGGAGTGTGCAAGAGGCAGCTGGTCGATGTTTCTCTCCTCGATGTTTCTAACTCTGTCCCTCTCCCTTCCTCTCTGTAAAAAATGAGTAAAATCTGTTTTAAAAATACAAATGTACTTACTCTTCCCTCTCCTCGCCCAGGTGATCCGGATCGACCTGAGCTCCATCGTGGCAACGGTCAGCGGTCCCAAGAGGCCGCAGGACCGAGTGGCTGTGACGGAGATGAAGAGGGACTTCCGCACCTGCCTCAGTGAGAAGGTGGGCTCCCTCGTCCGCTCCCGCTGCCCGGGCCCGGGGAGAGCGGGCAGGTCTCAGGGCAGCGTCCACACGGGTCCCTAAGGTTCCAGCCCAGAGGCTGGCTTCCGGTCACAAAGCCCCGTTTCCCCTGCCGACACTGCGTGGCTGAGGCTCCCCTGACGTGTTCCCTCAGGCTCAGACGTTTCTGCGGGATCTCTAGACTGACAGGTGACTGCCGACTCAGAAAACCCTGCCCGCCTGAGACACGTGGCTCCACATTCTCTGTGCTGCGGGCTGGCCCCTCTCTGTCTTTCCAGAGCTTTAGTTTTTATAATTGGTTGATTTTCTTGTGGGAAATGTCAGGCTCGTACAGGAGTTCAGATAGCGTCGTGAATTCCGACAGGCCTCGCTCCAACCGTCGCCAACTCTAGTAGATTCTACACGTGCATGCACACGCACACGCACACGCACACATGCAGTCGTTGGGAGCAGATCCTCGGGGCCACTTGCACACGCTGGTTCCGCCTCAGAGTTGCTGTGGCAGGAATGGTTAGAACCGGAGCTGAGGGAGAGCCGGGCCCGCGAGGCTGGGCTCACAGCAGCAGAGGGGACTGCGGGCAGCAGATACCTCGTCGCGACACGCAGGGTCCAGCTGAGTCCCGGCTGTCAGCACCTCACACATGTCTGACATGGAGTGTTCAGTCCCCACATGAGTTTTCTTTTTCTTTTTTTTTCTTTTCCTTTTGATGTTTTGATGTTGGAGAGGAAGAGGGAGAGAGAAACGTCAGTGATGAGAGAGGATCATGGATTGGCTGCCTCCTGCACTCCCCACACTAGGGATCAAGCCTGCAACCCAGGCCTGTGCCCTTGACCGGGAATCGAACCTGGGACCCCTCAGTCCGCAGGCCGAGGCTCTATCCACGGAGCCACACTGGGCAGGGCCGTGCTTTCTCTCCGTGTCAGAACATGCTCACGTGTGTGGGCATCCCTCCAGGTGGGGTTCCGGGGCTTCCAGATCGCGGCCGAGAAGCAGCAGGACGCCGTCACCCTCCACTACGAAGGGAGCGACTACCGCCTGTCACATGGGGCCGTGGTCGTCGCCGCCGTCACCAGCTGCACCAACAACTGCAACCCGTCCGTCATGCTGGCCGCAGGTAGGGGCGGTGCGAGGCCACCCATCCTCCCTCCGTCACGGCCTTTCTGTCCCCTAACAGCCCCTCTGCCCCTTGGGGTGGCGAGGGCTGGTGTCCAGCAGGGCCAAGGCTGACGTGTCACCAGTTTTCCCGTGTCACGCTAAGGAAGGCACATGTAACTGACACGTGTGGTAGTTGAGGCCTTGTCTCCTCTGCTGACCAGGAGGGCTGTGACTGGCAGGCAGGTCTGGTCTGGGAGCCGCCATGGCTGTGCCGGACCCGCTGAGCGTGAGAGGAGACACTGGCAGGGCCGCCATGCGTTCGCCGTGTGCACACCACACGGTCAACGTGGGCACCGTGCCCCGTTACTCAGTGGCTTCGCTTACCGTGACGTTGGCAACGGAAACGGCTCAGGCCATGCAGGCGGGAGCCTGTGCCGGGCTGCGCCTCCGCAGCGCTGGTCTCGGGTGGGACGAGTCGGGGGGAGATGGGAAATAAGTGGGTGAGTGTGGGGTCCCCCTGGGAGCGGGCCCGGCTGCTGGCGCCTGTCCGTCCCTCCGTGTGGCAGCCCAGGCCTCCCTGTCTGTCCGCAGGTCTGCTGGCCAAGAAGGCGGTGGAGGCGGGGCTGCGGGTGCAGCCCTACATCAGGACCAGCCTGGCGCCCGGCAGCGGCATGGTCACGCACTACCTCAGCGCCAGCGGCGTGCTGCCCTACCTGCGCACGCTCGGGTGAGCCCGGCCCCGGCCCCGGCCCCGGCCCCGGCCGTCGGCCTCTCGGCCTCTCGGCCCCATCGCCGTGGGGCCCGGCAGGGATGTAGCTGCGCGCCGTGACCGTCCAGCAGAGGAGAAAGAGAGAAGAGGCTTAGTCCCCTTGCCAATGTCTCTCGCCCCCTGAGGCCTAGCCCTCAGCAGACACGGGGGCACAGTCAGCAGCAGGCAGGTGCTGGCGAGAGAGCAGGGGTGGCGGGCAGACAGCGGGTCAGACCAGGTGGCGGTGACCCACAGGGATGGTGCCGGCCAGTGCGGTCCCCCCGAGCCCGCAGGGCATTTTCAGAACGGAAAGCCGCTCTCCAGGTTGTATTATTAACTAAGGTGTCTTTTTAAATTTTCCATTGATTTCAGAGAGGGAGGGAGGGGGAGAAATAGCAACGATGAGAGGGGGGGTGGATGGGCTGCCTCCTGCACGCCCCCCGCTGGGGAGGAAGCCCACAGCCCCGGCATGTGCCCTGGCGGGAACCGAACCTCTTGGTTCCCAGATCGACGCTCAACCACGGAGCCACGCCAGGCCGGCTCAAACGTGCCGTCTTACGTAAATCGTCCATTCCTTGCAAGCCTGGTGCGTTTGATGTTTTTGTGGCGGTTGGTTTTGATTTGTTTTTTAAAACTTAGAAGAGCAACCGGAAGTCATTCTGTGACTGCGTGTGTGCGTTTTTAGTTCTGTCGTCTTGAAGTGTCTGTCAGGGACTCCGTTGGCCTGAGGTGGGGGGGATGGCTGCGGTCAGTCCCGGCCCCTGAGCCGCTCGGGCCTCTCGCCACCTCGGGGTGAGCCCTCCGGAAGGACGTGCAGGACACGGTCTGGGTCATGTTCCCAGCGAGGAGGCTGAGGCTTCTCACAGTGTCCGATGCAGCTCACCACGTCCCACTGGGCAGCCTCAGCCCCGGCTCCTCTGGGCCTGCCCCTCCGAGTGTGCCCGACCGGGTGTGCCCATCCGAGTGTGCCCCTCTGAGTGTGCCCGTCCAAATATGCTCCTCTGGGTATGCTTATCCGACTGTGCCTGAGCAAGTGTGCCCCTTTGAGTATGCTTTTCTGAGTGTGCCCCTCAGGTGTGCCTGTTTGGGTGTGCTTGTCTGAGGGTGCCCCTCTGGGTGTGCCAGTCCAAGTGTGCCCCTCCGGGTGTACCTCTCTGAGGGTGCCCTCTGGGTGTGCCAGTCCAAGTGTGCCCCTCCGGGTTTGCTCGTCTGAGTGTGCCCCTCCGGGTGTACCTCTCTGAGAGTGCCCTCTGGGTGTGCCCCTCTGAGTGTGCGTGTGGGCAGTGGGCAGCCAGCCAGGGGCGGCCTCAGCCCAGGTCGGGAGGGGAAGGGACGGCAGGCTGGTCTGAGTCCCGACTCCTCAGGTTATGGCTGGAAGGAAGCGGACTGCGGACTGCTCCTCGCGCACGCGCGGTGATGCTCTGCCAACCCGGTGTCTCTGCCGCAGGTTTGAGGTCGTCGGCTACGGCTGCTCCACGTGCGTGGGGAACACGGGGCCCTTGTCCGAGGCCGTCCTGAGCGCCGTCAAACAGGTAACGGCTCCCCTCACGTGCCTTGCCGTTAAGTCACCGGGAACGTCCGTTGATGCGTTTATAGGCTCCAGTCCTCGCACCGTGCACCCTGAAACGATTAGAAGCCGTTTCTGATTCTCAGAGTCATTCTTTAAACGGGAGGCGTTGCGTCAGCCTGTGCGTGTCACAGTGGGAGCGGCCTGTGGGAGCGCCGTCCCATGGGGGCCGCCCCTCACCCGGGCGGGCCTGTGTGTTGCAGGGCGACCTGGTCACCTGCGGCGTCCTGTCCGGAAACAAGACCTTCGAAGGGCGGCTCTGCGACTGCGTGCGCGCCACCTACCTGGCCTCCCCGCCCCTGGTGGTGGCGTACGCCCTCGCCGGCACCGTGAGCATCGACTTCCAGGCCGAGCCCCTCGGTACGCCGCGCCTGCTCCCATGTCCCGGGCGGGTCGGCGGGGTCCTCGCTGCTCCCCCCCCCCCCGGTCCTTCCTCAGGGTGTCCCGGGCTTGTCCACGCGCGGCGTCCGCGTCCGCGTCTACAGGGAGGACAGCGTAGCCACGTCTCCCGCCGCGAAGCCGCGTGCTGGCCGCTGACAATGCACTTGGCTTCTTGGTGTGAGTGCGGCGCTGTCTTACGGGAGTTCCTTTTTCCTTCTTTTTTCCCTGAGCCCGGAGGACGACATGCTCTGTGTATTGTCAGCTGCATTTTTTGTGCCAGCCCCATTTTGGGTGCCTCTCTTGTTGTATGTTTTCCCACAGTTCACATGCACCATCGCTAAAACTCACTTTCCAGGCGAGAAACAGGGCTGTTAAATGCATCTCAGATCACACCGACCGTGAAAGGGCAGAGGCTCAGGATTTGAACCTTCCGGCTCCTGAGAATACCTGGTTCACAGGAACCGCCCTCTGGAATAATTCCAGCAGACCACACTGGCCCCCATTGAGTTTTCTGGAAGCCAGTAGTGACCCCCTTACTGTTGTCATAGCACCTAGTTCTATTGCAGAATAACGTGAACCCGTTAGGTGGTGTGTCCGTGGGGCTGTGCTAGAACTACCTGCTCACTGCTCTCTGGAAGTTACTGCCGCAGTCACAGCTCCACACGCTCTCCATCCCTCCTGAGCCTCCGTTGACATTCATAACCTGCTTATTAGGAGGCCCGTGTTTCTGATCTTTCCCCGCCAGGACCTAACAGCATTTCATGTGCCTCAGGCATGGCACAGCCCTGGCACCGACACGGGCATCGGGCTGGGCTGGGCTGAGGACTGCACATGCGCGGTGCCCAGTCGGGCCTCCCTGCCCGTGGCCGGGCTTCGGGAGTTACGGTTTGTGTTCGTGTCTCACCAGGCACGGACCCCGCCGGCAAGCACGTCTACCTGCATGACATCTGGCCGAGCCGAGAGGAGGTGCAGCGGGTGGAGGAGGAGCAGGTGCTGAGCTCCGTGTTCCGGGCGCTGAAGGAGAGGATGGAGGTCAGCTCCGGGCCCGTGACCGCCGTGGGCGTGTTCTCTGGGGGGACGGGCATCTCCGGGCGCCGTGTGGCATGTGCGGTCCGAATGCCAGGGTCGTCGTACATCTGGAATCCGAGAGCGCAGCTTGGAGGACAGGCAGTGGTTTTGGCGCTTACGGCAGTGCAGCCAGCTGGCGGGGCTCAGCGCCTGAGCATCGGCCCCCGAACCAGGAGGTCACTGGCCAGTTCCGGGTCAGGCACACGCCCGGGTCCCTCGGTCCCCAGTGTGGGGCGTGCGGAGGCACCAGTCAGTCGATGATGATTCTCTCATCGATGTTTCTGTTTCTCACCGGACACTACCCTTGCTTGTCACTCTGACCGAAATGGTTCAGAATGCAAAAGAATTGGGTGCAGTGACACCCACTCCCTGTCCTCAGAGGGGTCAGATCCCTAAGCATCCCAGAGGTGTATGCGCACACGAGCATGAACAATACAAACAGGAGGCAGGAAGGGCATCGGTGCACTCCCCTGTTTACCGAGTACATGCTCTGAGGTCAGCGTGTGTCTGTGCACAAAACGGTTCTCCTGGGAGAGGAGGCAGTGATAGTGCAGAACGACCAGGGAGTCACACCGTGTGTGAGAAAGCGGTACGGGCTGTGGAAGGTACAGATGAAAACACAGGACAAAGAGCCGGTTGTGCGAAATGGGGGGCACGCTGCAGTTTGAGGGGGGAGGGCTGAAAAGGGCCTTGAGCGGAGTTACAGGTGGTCACAGGCCTGGGCCCAGAGCCAGACTTTCCGGCCTGAGGAGGGACCTGGAGGACTGCTGGTTCCACAGGAAGTGAGGGCGGGGGGAGGAAGTGATGGCAGCGGGGCGGGCGGCCTGGGGGGGTGGTCGGTGGGCGGGGCGGCCTGGGGGAGAGGTCGGTGGGCGGGGCGGCCTGGGGGAGTGGTCGGTGGGCGGGGCGGCCTGGGGGAGTCTTGGGAGTTGTGATAAAAGGCAGTCTTTGCTCCTTGCTCGGGGTGGAGTGGTGGGAGCTGGGAGGGAGGCATGTCGTCATCAGAAGGCTGGCTCTGGACTGAGCCAGGCTGGGGGGGCGGTGAGGACGGAGCAGGGACGTTGAGGTCCAGCTCGGGCGTTGCAGGGCCTCGGAGCTGAGCACTGGGCACTGGCGTGCAGTTGGGGAGGACGGATCTACGGGGAGGTGGTGGACACATCTCAAAGCAGACGCTTTTCTGGCCTGTTCTTCACGGTGAGCAGCATCTCATGCACACACACAGCACACGTACACAGACATAGCCCACACACAGCACAGCTCACATAGGACACTCAGACAAATAGCACACACACGACACACATACAGCGCACACACAGCTCATACACAGCACATTTAAACATATACCTCACACGCACACAGCATGCTCACTCTTCAGCAGCGTGTGCGGATCTTTCTAACTTCTCCAGCTTCCTTTGCATTCATTAAGGTTTTTGGTTTTTTGTGGGTTTTTTATCCTCACCCGAGGATGTGTCGTTGATTTTTAAAGGGAGAGAGAGACATTAATCAGCTGCTCCCTTTCTCTCCCAACTGGGCTCGGGACCGAAACCTAGGTGGGTCCCTGACTGGGGATCAAACCCACAACCTGTTGGTAGATGGGCTGATGCTCCAACCACCAGGTCAGGGTGGATTCGGAAGCCTTTTATGTTCAGTTTATAATAAAGCTTAACTCGGAAGGTGCTCCTGCAAATGCAGCGTGCTGAGATTGGGCGAGAGGTCTTTATTCCTCCTGGGAATGCCACGATGGCTTATTTTATTCTTTTAAATATATTTTTATTGACTTCAGAGCAGAAGGGAGAGGGGGATAGAAACATCAGTGATGAGAGAGAACCATTGATCGGTGGCCTCTTGGGCGCCCCCAACTGGGGATCGAGCCCACAACCCAGGCATGGGCCTTAGACCAGGCCCATGGACCTTTCAGTCTGCAGACTGATGCTCCATCCACTGAGCCACCCCGGCCAGGGCGCCACGATGGTTTAGGATGCACTGTTCGCCTTCCTTAGGAAATGGGAAGCCCGAGTAGTTTCAGTCCCGTGACCACTGCCTGAGCCGCTTGTCTGACCCTCTGTCTCCCCCCCCCAGACGGGCGACAAGCGGTGGAACTCCCTGGAGGCGCCCGACTCGGTCCTGTTTCCGTGGGACGCCAAGTCCACGTACATCCGGTGCCCCTCGTTCTTCGACAGGCTGGTGAGTCCGGCCGTTCCTCCTGTCCCGGGCCGGTGGTGGGCGACACCGCGGAGCTCAGCGCCTCCCCCTCCCTCCCCTCCAGACCCGGGAGCCGGCCGCCCCGCCGCCCATCGAGAACGCACACGTCCTGCTGCACCTGGGCGACGCCGTCACCACCGACCACATCTCCCCCGCCGGCAGCATCGCCCGCGGCAGCGCCGCCGCCAAGTACCTGACCCACAGAGGGTGGGTGCGCCCGGGCGGGGGCACACCTGCCTCTGCTGAGCCTTAACCGCAGCGTGGCCGTGGCCGTGGCCGGTGTGGCTCAGCGGGTGGGCCTGGTCTGCCCGCCTGGTGAAGGCTGGGCTGGCCTCGCCGCCCTCCGGGGTGGGGCCGGCTGCCATGTGCTGGGCGGGCTGGGCTGTAGAGTGTAAGGGCTCGCTCCTGGGGCTGGGGCTGGGCTGGGATCAATCAAAAGCCAGGTGAGTTTTCAGTCCTCACTCCGGAGGAGTTTTTCACTGATTCCGGAGAGAGGAAGGGAGGAACGTTGATGGAGAGAGAGAAGCATTGGTTGGTTGCCACACGTAGACGCCCGGCTGGAGGTTGTACCAGCGGCCTGGGTGTGTGCTCCGACCAAGAATCAACCCCCCACACACACGCACACACCTGTCTGTGCGTGGGGCACCACTCCAGCCACCTGAGCCACACCACTGATCCCACGCCTTGTCTGATATAAAGAGGGAGTACGCTAATTGACCATCACACCCTCACAAAGATGGCGGCGCCCACAGCCGCAAGATGGTGGTGCCCAGTTCCCTCAGCCGCCCAAGGCACAGGCAGACCTTGGATGGCAGCCGTCTGGCTGCTCAGAGCCGCCCGGGCCCAGCTAACCGGGGCCGGCCGAGGCTGGCGCTGCCGGCAGTGGCAGCAGCAGAGGAGAGATGGGGCGTCACCCTCCCCTGATCGCCGGGTTGCCTCCCGCCCCTGAGGGCTCCCGGACTGAGAGAGGGGGCAGGCCACGCTGAGGGACCCCCCCCCAGTGCATGAATATTCAAGCACCGGGCCTCTAGTCGGTGTGTTAGAGTGCAGGGCGGGGAGTGTGAGGACCATGGAGAGGCAGAAAACCATGCCTTGAAGTACCCTGTTCCCTCGAAAATAAGACAGTGTCTTATATTAATTTTTGCTCCCAAAGATGCGCTAGGTCTTATTTTCAGGGGCTGTCTTATTTTTCCATGAAGAAGAATACGGTACACATTTATTGTTAAATGAAAATAAGGAAATTTATAACCTGTATACGGTACGGGAGTAAGGTAGTTGTCAACCTAAACCAGACACACTGTGAATCCTACAATATAAGAATTTACGCATTTATTCAATGACAATCATGTCATCTTCTGGAACATCATCAGAACAATCCAATTCCTGAATTTCCTGGTGAATTTCATGTGACTCCATTTCTTTCAGAATCAGTGGGCCAAGTCTCTCATGTTTAGCCTGGGCGGGGGGCTTATTTTGGGGGGGATGCCTTATATTTCGCTCAGAAGGAACCCTGTAAGTAGGTCTTATTTCCGGAGGATGTCTTATTTTTGGGGAAACACGGTACGAGGGGACGAGGAGACACAGGGAGATGAATGGGATGCGTTCGTGAACCGCATTTGGGTCCTGATGGGAACAAACCAGCACAGGAAGGGAGACGGGCAGGGGCCGCAGTGTTAACTGGCTGCCTGAGAGGAAGAAGCTGGGACTTCTTTTGTCTTTGTTTTGCTTTTTTGCTTTTCTGCTGTTGGTGGTTTTCTCAAGGGCCCCGGTCTCCTGGAGAAGGACCTGGAACGTGTACCGTCCAGATCCGCCGAGTTCCTTGGGCGTTTGCTGCCCCGTGTTCCCTCCTTGCGTAGGTGCTGGGAAATTTCCGTAATTAATAAAGTGCATTTCAGTAAGTCTACGATTCCTGGCTCCTTGCAGCCTTACCCCTCGGGAATTCAACTCCTACGGAGCCCGCAGAGGCAATGACGCAGTCATGACCAGAGGCACTTTCGCAAACATCAAGCTTTTTAACAAGTTCATCGGGAAGCCGGCTCCCAAGACCATCCACTTCCCGTCGGGGCAGACGGTGAGGCGCGCGGAGCGGGGGGCCGGGCTGGCGGGCCGGGCGGGGCTGACTCTGTCCGTCCGTCTGTCTGCCCACAGCTGGACGTGTTTGAGGCCGCGGAGCTGTACCAGAGGGAGGGCGTCCCGCTCCTCATCCTCGCGGGGAAGAAGTACGGCGCCGGGAGCTCGCGAGACTGGGCGGCCAAGGGGCCCTACCTGCTGGTACCGACTCCTTCCTCCCCCGGTTCTGTCCCCGCGGCCCCCTCCGGCCACGGGTGTCCCTCCCGGGCCCTACCTGCTGCTACCAACTCCTTTCCTCTCCCCGGTTCTGTCCCCGCGGCCCCCTCTGGCCACGGGTGTCCCTCCTGGGCTTTGGGGCTTGTCTTGACCTTAGAACACATGCGGGTTTTCCAGGTGATCCTACGTAAGCTAGTTGCATTAACATCCCAAACGTGAGCCCACATCAGCCTTTTCTTTTTTTATATCTATTTTATTGATTTTTATAAAGAGGAAGGAAGAGAGAGTTAGAAACGTCGATGAGAGAGAAACATCCATCAGCTGCCTCCTGCACACACACACACACACACACACACACACACACACACACCCCACTGGGGATGTGCCCGCAACCAAGGTCCATGCCCTTGACCGGAATCGAACCCGGGACCTCTCAGTCTGCAGGCTGACGCTCTATCCACTGAGCCACACCGGCCAGGGCGACCTTTTCTTACTTGAGGAAATGGGGAGGGATGTGTCCCCACCAGCAGCTTTCTGTGCCGGCCGCCCTTGCACTTCCCCGTCTCGGACTTCCTCCAGGAGGTGCACGCTCCGAGGTGCGGGCCTTTTCACTCGGTTCCCCACGTGCCGGCGGGCAGCACAGGCCGTGGCATGTGTGCGCGGGTCCCCCCACCCCAGACGGCGGGACGAGCAGGCCCCTGCAGGTGTGGTCGGAGGCGGCCTCGCCCCGCTCAGCCTCGTGTGCGTGAGGCTTCGCCCGCTCCTCCCAGCGCCCTGAACGGACAGCCTGGTGGTGGGCGCACGCAGCTCCTCTTCCTGAGCTTGCACAAGGACCGGGAATGGCCGTGATCGGTGGAGCCTGCCTGCCTTCTGAGATGTCCTATCTCCGCTGTTTACGTCCTGGGCCTTCCCCGTCGCAGGTGGTCCCTGCTGTCCGCTCAGTTACAGACGGACACGCCGGTGGCACGGCCGGGCTGGGCCATGGGGGCCTTGCTCGGGGGCGATGGGGGTCAGCAGCGAGAGTTCCCTGAGCCGCTCAGCCCCTCGGGACCCGGCTCAGCCTCACGCCGACCCCAGAGGCCCCTCTCCCCTCTCGGGCCAGTCCTCGTCTCAGACCACGGTCGGGGGTGCACTCCAGGGGCAGAAACCCCGCTCAGGGCCCAGGCTCACACAGACGCGCTCCGTGTGGGCTGGGGTAACGGGAGGGTGGGCAGCGGGAGGGTGTGATGGGGGAGGGTCTCTGACAGGCTCCTGAGGGGCGGGGATGTGTGGAAGGTGAGAAGCTGGGCCTAGAGCTGCTTCTCCGGGGAGGACCCTCCTCTCGGGGAGCAGGACGGGCAGAGCTGCCTGCGCTCCGGCTGCCAGCACCCGGGCGGGCCTCGGCCAAGCACGCAGGTCCCGGTGCTTTGTGGTCTGGGTGGGCCGGGCCTTCCCTGCGGGGCACCGAGCTCACTCAGCGGCCCTTCCCTGTTCCTGGTTGTAGGGGCGTCTCGGGAGGGACAGCAGGAGCCCCTGGGCCAGGCCCACCCTGGCGGGCACAGAGCAGCCGGTAAAAGGCTCCGGGTGCTCGGAGCGTGGGCTCGGAGCTCGGACGGTGTCTGAGCGGGAAAGGCCCAGAGCAGAGGCTCCTGCGTACAGAGCTCAGGGAAGGCCCTCGGGCGGCGGGCTGACGCGGTGTGTTGCAGGGCGTGCGGGCGGTGCTGGCGGAGAGCTACGAGAAGATCCACAAGGACCACCTGGTGGGCGTCGGCATCGCGCCCCTGCAGTTCCTGCCCGGGCAGAGCGCCGCCACCCTGGGCCTCTCCGGCCGCGAGACCTTCTCCCTGGCCTTCCCCGCCGAGCTGTCTCCGGGAGCCACGCTGAGCGTGAAGGTACCGGCCTGGCCGCCGGGCGGGACCGGGAGCCGGGCAGGGCCGTGCGGCCTCCGGGGGGCGGGGAGTCGGGCACACGGCTGCCTCTCCACCAGCTCGGTCCTGACCCCACGTTAACGGGCAGGAGCCGCCCACAGGGAGGCAGGGCTGGCTGTCGGGGTAGAGGAGGGGGAGCGGGTGTGCTGGGCGGTGAGTGTTGGACGTGAGATGGACGTGAGCAGTTAGTTAGCGGATGGATGTGGCTCACAGCCAGAAGCCGCCAACAGGGACAGGAGTCGTGTCCTAGGCGCGGCCGTATGGCCCTTCGGAGCCAGGGACGACAGTGTCTCCGGAGCCGAGGCCGGGGGCATCGGGTGGTGAGCGAGCAGGAGGCGTCCCGGACAGACGGGGGGCGGCCTTGTGTGGGGACAGCGGTCCGGCCACGGGGGGACGCGGGGCCGCCCTCCCTCACGCGGCTTCTGCTCTTTCCCAGACGAGCACCGGGAAGGTGTTCAGCGTGGTCGCTGCGTTCGAGAACGACGTGGAGTTGACGCTGCACCGGCACGGAGGGCTGTTGAACTTCGTGGCCCGGAAGTTCTCCTAGTGCCGGCTCCCCGGGACCTCCGCGCCGGGCCCCCGCCTGGCGCCGCAGACACTCCGGCGCCCGCCTCCTGCGGGAGGGAGGCCCGGACCACGGAGCGGCAGAACGGACTCTGATTTCCAATCCTTACGATGGTGCTATTCACCCTGCTGGGCTCGGCGTGCGTGCGCGGCGGACGAGGGGCGAGTCCGAGCGTCCTCACCGAGTGTAAATACAGGCGGGACTGACGTGTTGGAGAGTCTGCTGTGCGGAGCCCCGGGTGGTCTGTTCCGTTTGGCATCACGGAGGCTGCGGCGCTGGGGCGGGCATCGGGGTGCAGAGGACGCAGAGCCAGCTGCTGGCTAACGCTGTGCGGGTTGGGGTCAGACGGACAGGTGGACCCAGTCCCTCCTCCGGCGATGCTGGTGGAGACTGAGCCGGGCGCCCCGGCCCGGCCCCTGCAGCCCCGCACGGCCCTCCCCGGAGGCTGGGGTTCGGGACGGGACAGAGTGGCCCCGCCACAGCGACAGCGACAGCAACGTGCAGCCCTCACACTGGGCACTCTCGGAGCCTCCGGCCGGGCTCAGTAGCTGGCTGAGGGGAGGAGGCGGTGGCTCACTGGTGTGGCGCCATCACTCCGGGAGCTGGGAGCTGGGATTCGCCAACAGATCCCACCGCTCAGAGCTGCTCGCCCCTGGATTTACACTGGCCCCGCCGCGCGGCTGCTCCGCCAGGCGTGGGAAGGGTTGGCTGTTTGCTAGTGGCTCAGGTCCGTGTCCTGTCGTTTTGAGTCCGTGTTTTCCTGACCTGCGGGGATGGTCCTGCTTTTGTGGTGACCAAAGCTGACCCCGGTTCTCTCCAGAGGCGTCGGCTCCCCCCTCGAGGGCTCCTTCTCCAAGAAGCGGGGCAGCTTTTAAGAAGCAGCCTGGGTAATGAATTTCAAAAGGCCCAGCCGTGCCCCTTTTTAAATCAAAAGATTGATTAACCTCCGTGGGCGGCAGAAGGTGATTTGCATGTTTCTCACCCAAGATCTTTCCTGTGACCTGATGCATTGCTGCACTTCAGCGGAAGGTCACGGAATAGGAAGAGGCTCCTGACTGTGAGATGCCGGGGTGCGGCCCCCGTGGGTGCAGAGCTGAGGCCTTAGCACAGTCAGCCTGCAAGCACGTGCTCAGACCGTTACATTAAAGATGCTGCCTGGTGCTCGGATCAGATGGTCCTGAGTATTTTACTCTGAGTATTTGTCAGTGCCCGTGTGCTCCTGATTTACATGAAAACCCGAGTTGGGATGGAGAATTCCAAGGTGGATGTTGAAACACCCGTGGTAGGGTTTGAAGAAATGGCAATTCCAGGTTGGGTTGGGGCGGGCGTCTGTATTGGGTTTCAGGATATTATGTGGCCTGAGGGTCACAAACATCAGATGCAGGAGGTGAAGACAGAAAAGCAAGCTGTGAACTAAGCACTTAGATTCCCACCTGCCTCGCCCAGAAAGGTGCCGGCAAACCTGTGTGTCAGGAACAATCAGGGCCTCCTCCTCTGAACCAAAAGGCTGGGTCGGCATGGCCGTCGGCTGGCGCGGGGAACGGATGTGTCCGTGCGTGCTGACAGCTCTGCCTCCAGCCAACGCCATGTGCGCGGAAACGTGGCGTCTGGTGATCGTTGCTGTCTCACCCCCTTTGTTAACTCCGTCTGGTAATCTGTTAAGAACACGTGGGAAGGACGTGGCTCGTAAGAGAATGTTGCTGAGTTCCAGCACAGGCACAGAGCATCGCCATGTCCGTGCCTTTGGTCAGTGAGAACGGCACCCACCACTGAGCTGCGTGGTTATGCCAAAGGCTCCAGACGTCCACGTGACCCGGGGCCAGGCTGCTGGGTTTCCACGGGTGATCACACTCCAGTGGCTCCGAGGGGGCCGGGGCGGCTCCGACCCGATGAGGCCAGGCCATCGCCCACGTGGTCACTGCATGGCCTCTGCGGGCGAGCGGCCGGCGGGGAGGGATGGACTGATGGGCATTTCCCTGTGGTTAAGACGCCTTCCTCTGCCTTTGGGTTTTGGGGCGGCTCTGAGGTGCTGTGATTGGGGGGAAGGAGAGGGACTCCCCACAGCATGTGACCCCCCCCGAACACGTCTCACTCACGCAGCTCCGGATTGTCAGTCATAAAGCCAACAACACCACGTAGCAGTTTTAAGTTCAATGACGCTAAGTATTGTATAGAAATCTATTGGAGGCGAAGTTCTGTGGATGACAACTGTGTATATGTTATTGATGCTGTAAATTATTTTTAATAAAGAAAATTGTATTATCACATGTTGGACTCTTCTAATAAAATAGTTTGTGGTGACTGAAAACAAAACACCTAAGGAAGAGAAATAGGATGGAATCTACAATTTTCTCCTCAAACAGGCGTGCGGAGGCAGCCGATCCATGATTCTCATCGTTGATGTTTCCCTTGCTCTCTGAAATCAATAAAAATGTATTTTAAAAAAAGAACAGGACAAAGTGAACACGGTGAGGGGGGAGAATTCATGCGCTGCCTGAGGGACAGGCAAGCAGAGCGCCCTCATGAACCCACAGGAGTCAGACTGGCTACTGGAAACCAAATCAAAGCTGGCCAAAACCGGTGTGGCTCAGTGGATAGAGCATCGGCCTTCGGACTGAAAGGTCCCAGGTTTGATTCCAGTCAAGGGCATGTACCTCGGTTGCGGGCACATCCCCAGTGGGGGGCGTGCAGGAGGCAGCTGATGATTCTCTCTCATCGATGTTTCTCTCTATCCGTCTCTCTTCCTCTCTCAAAAATTAATAAGAGCGTCAGCTTGGGGACTGAAGGGTCCCGGGTTCGATTCCGGTCAAGGGCATGTACCTTGGTTGCGGGCACATCCCCAGTAGGGGGTGTGCAAGAGGCAGCTGATGATTCTATCTCTCATCGATGTTTCTATCTCTCTCCCTTCCTCTCTGTACAAAATCAATAAAATATCTTTAAAAAAATCAATAAGATATATTAATTAATAAAATAAAAATCAAAGCTGGTCTCTCAGCCCAGAGGGAAGAGATGGTGAAGAATGGGACTGCAGAAAGGCGGCCTGCTGCTTGGAGATAAGACCCAAATCCAAAGGGGGGAAGGCCCGCCCTCGGCAGAGGTTTGGCAAACATCCGAGTCAGTCACGAGTCAGTCACGGTCCCAGATAACCAAGGGCGCTACATCCTGATAGAAAACAGGAATAAAAGCGTGGAGGCCGGGGGTGGGGGCTGAGCATTTACAAAAAACAAGGACCCAGTACAAGGTGGGCTGCGGAGTTGTCCTTGATAACGAGGGTTACCAAATATTCCGGCCTCTTCTCGGGATGTTCCGGCAGCGTGTTTCTGCCCTTTCCCCGCGGGGAGAGAATCGGACTCCAGTTTCTGACCCAACTACTGGCCCGCCCCTGGGGAACCTCCCGCCTCCTTTCCCATCCGTTATAGTGAAGTCAGGGGCTCGGGAAGAGGAGGGAATGGGGTGCGGTTTGTCTGGTCCAGGCCCTGCGCCCCCGGAACCCCCCATCGGCAAGCACTAGGAGTGTGCAGGCCTATAGTTATGCCCGCGATCCCGGGAGCTGGGGCTGTGCAGAGGTAGCCAGCCCGCCCGCCGGGACCTCCCATCAGACCTGGGACGGAGGTCCGGAGGCGGCCTCCGGGGTGCGCGCTGCCCGCGGGAAGGGGGGGAAGGAGAAAGGCTGGCGCCCAGACACCTCCGATCCCTAGAAAACAGGGTCCTTCAAAACTCCTACCGGGCCCGTGCCCGCTGCTCCATGCAACTCAATAGCCGGAAGCCCGGCTCACAGGGGGGCAGGACAGAATGTCGCAGATCCAATCAGAAACAAGAATCCCAGTGACGTAAGAGGCGTCCAGATTTTGACAGACGGGAGCACCCGGAGGCGGGGCCAGATTGCGGAGAGCTAATCAGCGGCCTAATCTCGTCCTGCGAAGTCTGGATAGGGCGGGGCGGGGCCTCGCGTCCCTTCCTCCGCGCTGATTGGCGGCGGGGTTCTCTGAAGGAGCCAATCAGAAGTCAGGGGTCGCGGGCACGGGGCTGGGGCAGGCCGAGGTGCTGCAGGTCAGTGGCTGCTGCCCCGCGCGAGACCTGACCGCGCGGGACCGCGCCGCGCGGGACCTGATCACGCGAGACCGCGCCGCGCGAGGTCCGCCCTCAGCCCGGGCTGCGGGGCAGCGGCCGCCGCCTGGGACCGCGGGTCGCGCAGGGTGAGCGGGCAGGGGGGCGGGGGGACGGGGGCGGGGGAAGGGTTGGGGTCGGCGCCTCCTCCTCCCTGACCCCAGAGCTGCAGCGTGGGGACCCCACGGGGGTGCGGTCCGTGCACCTGGCACCCTAAGCGCCGGGACCGACCCGGGTGCCCCCCGCGCCTTGGGTCCTAGCACCCTGCAGCCCAGCGGGAGCCCCTCGGAGCGCCCAGCAGGGGGTCGCGGTCCTTGAAACCAAACTGGACTTCCCCTGCCTTCCTGTGCCCTTTGGGGTGAAGGCCGGGGAGCCCCCGTTTTTGTTTGTTTTTTACTTTTAAATATATATATTTTTTAATTGATTTTTTTCAGAGAGGAAGGGAGAGGGAGAGAGAGTTAGAAACATCTATCAGCTGCCTCCTGCACGCCCCCCACTGGGGATGTGCCCGCAACCAAGGTCCATGCCCTTGACCGGAATCGAACCCGGGACCTCTCAGTCCGCAGGCCGACGCTCTAGCCACTGAGCCACACCGGTTAGGGCAGTTTTTTATTCTTTTAATGTATTTTTTATTGATCTCAGAGAGAAAGGGAGAGGGAGAGAGAGAAACACCCATGAACAGAGAATCATGGATCGGCTGCCTCCTGCACGCCCCCCCCCCCATTGGGGATCATATTTTTTATTCATTTCAGAGAGAGGAAGGGAGAGGGAGATAGAAACCATCAGTAATGAAAGAGAATCAGCTATCGGCTGCCTCCTGCACGCCCCCTTACTAGGAATGGAGCCCGCAACCCGGGCATGTGCCCTGACCGGGAATCGAACCTGTGACCTCCTGGTTCAGAGGTCAGCGCTCAACCCCTGAGCCCCTCCGCCTGGCCAGGTGCTGGGTGCAGGCCTCTGCCTGCTGACTTTCTGCTCTCCCGGGAGGAGTGGCAGGTGCAGGAGGCCAGCTTTGGCAGAAACTCCTGGACTTTGTGACTGTGGGGAGCAGGGGACGGGGAGGAGAGGGGGGAGGCGTGCCTGGCGTGGCCTGCACAGAGCGGGGAGCCGAAGGTGCGGCCGCTGGCTGCAGGACAGAGGTGGTGAGGTTCTTTTTTTTTTTTTTTTTTTAATATATTTTATTGATTTTATACAGAGAGGAAGGGAGAGGGATAGAGAGCTAGAAACATCGATGAGAGAGAAACATCGACCAGCTGCCTCTTGCACACCCCCTACCAGAGATGTGCCCGCAACCAAGGTCCATGCCCTTGACCAGAATCGAACCTGGGACCTTTCAGTCCGCAGGCCGACGCTCTACCACTGAGCCACACCGGTTTTGACTATACTTTCCTTTTCAAAAATATTTTTTTTAGTCCCGGTGTTGCTCAGTGGATAGAGCGTTGGCCTGCAGACGTAAGGGTCCTGGGTTCAATTCCCATCAAGGGCACATGCCTCGGTTGCAGGCTCCTAACCAGTAGGGGGCATGCAGGAGGCAGCTGAGCCATGATACTCATCATGGATGTTTCTATCTCTCTCTTCCTCTCCCTTCCTCTCTGAAATGAAAAATATATTTTTAAAGTATTTTTTTTCTTGATTTCAAAGAAGAAGGGAGTGGGAAAAAGAGATAGAAACATCCATGATGAGAGAGAATCATGGATCAGCCGCCTCCTGCGTGCCCCACACTGGGGATCGAGCCCACACCCTGGGCATGCGCCCTCCTGGTTCATAGGTCAATGCTCAACCACTGAACCATGTCGGCCGGACTTGAAATTACATTTTAACTCAAACGAATGGTAATATAGTCCAAAGGACATCGTCAGGGATCAGGGATCTCGGGAACTGAGTTTGTGCTCTGACTTGGTCTGTACTTTTGGGAAAAGCCCATACCCTCTCAGGCCTAACTGTCCCCGGTAAGTAAAGCTGGTGGGGGTGGGTCAGGGTGGGACAGCGGGGAGCTGGACGAGGTGCTTTCCTGGTCTGTGTTCCATCCCTGGAAACATACCTTCAGGATGGGAAGTGGGTTTAAAATAATTGATGGGGAACTGACCAGTGTTGCTCAGTGGATAAAGCGTCGGCCTGCAGACTTAGGGCCTGTGTTCGATTCCAGTCAAGGGCATGTACCTTGGTTGCAGGCACATCCCCAGTAGGGGGTGTGCAGGAGGCAGCTGATCGATGTTTCAAACTCTCTATACCTCTCCCTTCCTCTCTGTAAAAAAAATCAATAACATTAAAAAATGTAATAAGCCGAAAACGGTTTGGCTCAGTGGATAGAGCGTCGGTCTGCGGACTGAAAGGTCCCAGGTTCGATTCCGGTCAAGGGCATGTACCTTTGTTGCGGGCACATCCCCGGTAGGGGGTGTGCAAGAGGCAGCTGGTCGATGTTTCTCTCTCATCGACGTTTCTGGCTGTCTCTCTCCCTTTCTCTCTGTAAAAAATCAATAAGATATATTTTTTTAAAATGTAATAAAAGAATAAAATAATTTATGGGCCTGGTCAGTGTGGCTGGTGGTTGAGCGTGGACCTAGGAACCAGGAGGTCACAGTTCGATTCCCGGTCAGGGCACAGGCCCGGGTTGTGGGCTCCATCCCCAGTGGGGGGCGTGCAGGAGGCAGCCGATCTGTGATCCTCTCTCATCACTGATGTTTCTATCTCTCTCCTTCCCCCTTTCCTCTCTGAGGTCAATAAAGAAATATATAAATATATTTTTAAAATATATTTAAATATATATATATATATATATATATATATATATATATATATACACACACACATAAAGAAGAAAAGCCGGAGCCGGTTTAGCTCAGTGGATAGAGCGTCGGCCTGAAAGGTCCCAGGTTCGATTCCGGTCAAGGGCATGTACCTTGGCTGCGGGCACATCCCCAGTAGGGGGGCGTGCAGGAGGCAGCCGATCCATGATCCTCTCTCGTCACGGATGTTTCTCTCCCTCTCCCTTCCTCTCTGAGATCACTAAACAGACGCTGTGCAACCCGTGGGTAAATATGCCCGTGACGTGTCTGGCCCCCCTCTCCAGGCTGTGCCCCCGACATGACGTCGCGTGGCGCTGACCAGCGGGCGCAGGCCTCGGCCAAGCCGGCCTTCAGCGAGGCGCAGGCCCGCGCGCTGGTGGAGGCCGAGTTCGGGCTCCGGGTGTCGGAGGTCCAGCCGCTGCCGAGCTACGACGACCAGAACTTCCGCGTGCGGGTGCCCAGGGCCGGAGACGCGGGCGGCCCCTCCGAGTTCGTCCTCAAGATCAGCAACGCCGAGGCCAGCAGGACCCCCGGGCTCATCGAGGTGCAGAGCCACGTGATCGCCTTCCTGCACCAGGCGGGCTTCCCCACGGCCTCCGTGTGGCCCGCCAGAAGCGGTCGCATCACCTCGCTCGTGTCCGTGGGTAAGGGATCCCCCCCCCACCCCCATGGGTGCTGCCGGTCCGCGCACAGGAGTGGGTCTGGGTCCCAAGCACAAACGTCAAGAACAGCCTCGTCAGCCTGGCCGCCCGGCGTGGCTCAGGGGCTGAGCATCGACCTAGGAACCAGGAGGTCGCAGGTTCGATTCCCGGTCAGGGCACAGGCCCGGGTGGCGGGCTCCATCCCCGGTGGGGGGCGTGCAGGAGGCAGCTGATGGATGTTTCTCTCTCATCAGTGTTTCTCCCTCGCCCTCTCCCTTCCTCTCTGTAAAAAAAAATCAGTAAATTATATTTTTTAAAAAGTCACAGGTTTAGCCGGGACCGGTTTGGCTCAGTGGATAGAGCGTCGGTCTGCGGACTGGAAGGTCCCGGGTTCGATTCCGGGCAAGGGCATGGACCTTGGTTGCGGGCACATCCCCAGTAGGGGGTGTGCAGGAGGCAGCTGATCGATGATTCTCTCATCGATGTTTCTAACTCTGTGTCCCTCTCAATTCCTCACTGTGTAAAATCAATAAAATATATTAAAAAAAAAAAAAAGTCACAGGTTTAGGGACACATCAGGGAGTTTGTTCATGGTCAGTTTTTTTGTTTGTTTGTTTTTAATAGATTTCATTGATTTTTTACAGAGAGGAAGGGAGAGGGATAGAGAGCTAGAAACATCGATGAGAGAGAAACATCGATCAGATGCCTCCTGCACATCCCCCACTGGGGATGTGTCCGCAAGCAAGGTCCATGCCCTTGACCGGAATCGAACTGGGACCTTTCAGTCCGCAGGCCGATGCTCTACCCACTGAGCCACACCCGTTTCGGCTCATGGTCAGACTTGCCCACGGGACCCAATGCCACCAGCGTCCTCCTGTCCTAATGGGTTTGTGAACACCCTCTTCCCACACTGTTCTCAGCCTTTGTCATGAGTAAACGATATATATTTTTTAATTAAAAATTTGTACTGATTTCAGAGAGGAAGGGAGAGGAAGAGAGAGAGAAACATCCATGACGAGGGAGAATCATGGATCGGCTGCCTCCTGCACGCCCCCCACTGGGGATGGAGCCCACTGGGGGCCTGTGCCCTGACCGGGAATCGAACCCTGACCTCCTGGTTCATATGTCAACGCTCCACGGCTGAGCCATGCCGGGCGGGCGTGTACCTCCTCGCTCCGTCCTCTCAGCCTGCCTCGCAGAATCCCGCTGATGGTGTTAGGTCAGCACACATCTTTTTCTCTCTCGCTCTGCGAGTTCCGTTCTTGTTGGCAGTGACAGGGACAGAGGCGGGGGGGCCTCTGATTCTTCTGATATGGCTTTGACGGGAGTGTCCTTCCTTCCGCCCAGACTGCGGCTCCCGAACCCGGAGCCACCTGGTGAGGCTGCTGACCTTCCTCCCGGGGCGGCCCGTGGCCGAGGTCCCCGTCGGCCCCCTGCTGCTGTATGAGATTGGGAGGCTGGCTGCCACCCTGGATAAGACGCTGGAGGTGAGGCTTACGTTTCTTTTTGTTTGTTTGTTTTAAATATAGTTTATTGATTTTTCACAGAGAGGAAGGGAGAGGGAGAGAGAGTAAGAAACATCGATGAGAGAGAAACATCGATCAGCTGCCTCCTGTACACCCCCCACTGGGGATGTGCCCGCAACCAGGGTCCATGTCCTTGAACAGAATCGAACCCGGGACCTTTCAGTCCGCAGGCCGACGCTCTATCCACTGAGCCGCACTGGTTTCGGCAGGCTTGGGGTTTTGTTTTGTGTGTGAGCGTTTTTTTATTTGTCTGGGTGTGCTTTTATATTATTATTATTATTTTTTTAATATACTAATACCAAAGAGATTCTTTTTAAAATATATATATATATATATATATATATATTTTTTTTTATTGATTTCAGAGAGGAAGGGAGAGATAGAGAGAAACATCAGTGATGAGAGCAAATCATGAATCTGCTGCCTCCTGCACACATACCCCCACTCACACACTGAGGATTGAGCCTGAAACCTGGGCATGTGCCCTTGACTGGGAATCGAACCTGGGACCCTTTAGTCCACAGGCCGATGCTCTATCCACTGAGCCACACCGGCTAGGCCAGTGGTCGGCAAACCGCGGCTCGCGAGCCACATGCTGCTCGTTGGCACCTTGAGTGTGGCTTTTACACAAAACACCACGGCCTGGGCGAGTCTATTTTGAAAAAGTGGCATTAGAAGAAGTTTAAGTTTAAAAAATTCGGCTCTAAAAAGAAATTTCAGTCGTACCCTTGACACTTGGCTCTGTCGACTAATGAGTTTGCTGGTCTAAGCGTTTATTGCTTTCTTTTTTTAATTAATTACTTTTTAAAAAAATACATTTTATTGATTTTTTACAGAGAGGAAGAGAGAGGGATAGAGTTAGAAACATCGATGAGAGAGACATCGATCAGCTGCCTCCTGCACGCCCCCCACCGGGGATGTGCCCACCACCAAGGCACATGCCCCTGACCGGACTCGAACCCGGGACCGTTCAGTCCGCAGGCCGGCGCTCTCTCCGCTGAGCCACACCGGTTTGGGCTGGCCTAAGCGTTTCTTGCTCTCGGGGTAGGAGTTCCGCCACCCGAAGCTCAGCTGTCTCCGCCGGGAGGACTTCATCTGGAACCTGAGGAACGTGCCTCTCCTGGAGCCGTACCTGGATGCCCTGGGCCCGGGTCCGAACCGTGAGATGGTGGAGCGGGTCATCCGGCTGTTCAAGGACGAGGTCACGGCCAAGCTCAGTCACTTCCGGGAGTGTGAGTATCTTGATGTCTACGTTGTCAGATTTCAGCCCGGCCCGGCCGGTTGCGTGGCTCCGTGGCGGAGCGTCGACCTAGGGGCCAGGAGGTCACGGTTCGATTCCCGGTCAGGGCACAGGCCCCGGTTGTGGGCTCCGTTCCCAGAAGGGGGCGTGCAGCAGGCAGCCGATCACTGATTGTCCTCGCTGGTGTTTCTCTCTCCCTTTCCCAACCTCTTTGAAGTCAATAATAATATAGTTTAAAAAATTGTTAAATTTCGCCGAAACCGGTTTGGCTCAATGGATAGAGCGTCAGCTTGGGGACTGAAGGGTCCCGGGTTCGATTCCGGTCAAGGGCATGTACCTTGGTTGCGGGCATATCCCCGGTGGGGGGTGTGCAAGAGGCAGCTGATCGATGACTCTCTCTCATCAGTGTTTCTGACTCTCTGTCTCTCTCCTTTCCTATCTGAACAAAATCAATAAAATATATATTTTTTTAAATTGTTAAATTTCAAATTGTCAGGAAAAGCCTGGAGTTACAGCATAGCTTTACCGAATTGTCAGAACAAATTTCTTGGAAATCCGAGGTTAAAATAAAGAACACAGCCAAGCCGAAACCGGTGTGGCTCAGTGGATAGAGCGTCGGCCTGCGGACTGAAAGGTCCCGGGTTCGATTCCGGTTACGGGCACCTACCTCGGTTGCAGGCACATCCCCAGTGGGGTGTGTGCAGGAGGCGGCTGGTCGGTGTTTCTCTCTCATCGATGTTTCTAGCTCTCTATCTCTCTCCCTTCCTCTCTGTGAAAAATCAATAAAATATATTAAAAAACAAAACAAAGCACAGCTGGTGCCCTAGCTGGTGTTGCTCAATGGGTAGAGCGTCGGCCTGAGAACTGAAGGGTCCTGGTTTCGATTCCGGTCAAGGGCACATGCCCTGGTTGTGGGCTCCATCCCTATTGGGGAGGGGAGGGGTGCAGGAGGCAGCTGATCCATGATTCTCTCTCATCATGGATGTTTCTCTTCCTCTCTGAAATCAATAAAAGATATTAAAAAAAACAAAAAGTAAAGAACGCGGCTGGCCCACTCTGGGACCCTCGGCTGCCTATAGTCGGAGGCATTGTGTATTTTTGAACATGTCTGGCTGGGGCCGTTCTCTTTCTCCCTTTGTGCTTCTGGCTCGGGAACAGGAAGCATTTGCAGAAACTACGTTCTCCACCTGCGGGCTTTGAGGGGATAAGGATCAAAAGCAGAGACACCGCCAGAACGAACTGCTTTTGTCCTTCTCAGAGGAAATTATTTTGCTTCAAGAAAAACAAAATTTATTTTTTTAAATCCTCACCTGAGAATTTTTTATTTATTTATTTATTTTTGTTACAGAGAGGAAGAGAAAGGGATAGAGAGTTAGAAACATCGATGAAAGAGAAACAGCCATCAGCTGCCTCCTGCACGCCCCCCACCGGGGATGTGCCCGCAACCAAGGTCCATCCATGCCCTTGACGGGAATCGAACCTGGACCTCTCAGTCCGCGGGCCGACGCTCTATCCACTGAGCCACACGGGTTAGGGCTGAACCAGGGTATTGAACGATGGTTATCGCCTCCCTTGCTTTTTTTTTTTTTTTTTTTTAATATATTTTATTGATTTTTTACAGAGAGGAAGAGAGAGGGACAGAGAGCAAGAAACGTCGATGAGAGAGAAACATCGACCAGCTGCCTCCTGCACGCCCCCCCCCCCCACCGGGGATGTGCCCGCAACCAAGGTCCATGCCCTTGACCGGAATCGAACCCGGGACCTTTCAGTCCGCAGACCGACGACGCTCTATCCACTGGGCCACACCGGCTTCGGCCTCACTTGCTCTTGTTCTCCTCGCAGGTATCAATCACGGGGACCTCAACGACCATAACATTTTGGTGGAGCCCGGCGAGCCGGCCTCGGGGGACCCCGCCTTCCGCGTGTCCGGGATCTTGGACTTCGAGGACATGAGCTACGGCTGCTACGTGTTCGAGGTGGCCATCGCCATCATGTACATGATGGTCGAGAGCCGGGACCCCGTGGCGGTGGGCGGCCACGTGCTGGCGGGGTTCGAGAGCGTCATCCCGCTGACCGCCGCCGAGAGGGACGCCCTGTTCCTGCTCGTGTGCGGGCGCTTCTGCCAGTCGCTGGTCATGGCCGCGCACTCCTGCCGGCTGCACCCGGAGAACGCCGAGTACCTCATGATCACGGCGAAAACCGGGTGGAAGCACCTGCAGCGGATGCTCGCCGTGGGCCGGACGGCCGTCGAAGAGATCTGGTTCGGCACCGCCAGGTCCTACGGATCCGGGGACTCCGTGTGACCCGGGCAGAAGCTCGCACGAACGAGGGGAGCTAAACCCGGTGGGACCAGATCTCAGTGGGCGAGGGACGTTCCTGCACAGTTAACCATGAGTGGATGGGCCCTGGCCTGTGTGGCTCACTGGATAGAGCGCCAGTCTGTGGGCTGAAGGGTTCCGGGTTCGATTCCGGTCAAGGGCATGGACCTTGGTGGCGGGCACATCCCCAGTGGGGGGCGTGCAGGAGGCAGCTGATCGATGTTTCTCTCTCATCGATGTTTTTCTCTATCCCTCTCCCTCCCTCTCTGTAAGAAAACAATAAAATATATATATTTTAAAAATGAATGGATGGAACGGATCCTTGCATGTGAAGCCACCGAGGTCTTCAATCTCATGATGATATTTTAAACTAAGAAACAGGACATGAACAGTCAGGTTTTCCTGTCGGTCTCGTGCGCCCTGCCCATGAAACACACAGAATGATATTTCAAATCAGATAGTCTCTCGGATGTGAGGGCGATCTGGCTGCGACATCTATCACCCCACTGATCGCCAGGGTTGATTCGGCTGATCTGGCTGGCTTGGCGGGTGTCCCCCTCCTCCCTCACCGATCCATGTGCATCCCTCCCGAGGCTGCGCGCTCGGTCGAAGAGGACGACTTTCCCCCAAGAGGAGAGGACCGGTCTTCGGTCAAGGGTATACGAGTGTCTGCGCTCCCCTGCTAGAACCTCCAAACAAGCTCTCAAATCAGTTAGTCTCTCAATGTCTCTTCCAGAGCTGGTCAGCCTTCTAGCCTACCCCCCGCTCCCCCCCAAAACAAACACACACAAAAAACTTAAAACGTGAATAGTAAACAGTTTGCATAGGGATGAAACCCAGAAAGGAGAGGTGGATAGAGAACACATCTGAAAACTGAGTTTCAGGGCAGAAGAGAAATAGTGCGCGCGGGGAGTCCATCTGATGGGCGAAGTGGAACGCGGGGGGGTGGGGGTACGGGTGGGGGGCTGGGAACGAAGGAGCAGGGAGCGAGGTTTGGGGTCCCGCGGGTGCTATCCCAGTCTGCAGTGCTGAAGGGCAAGCGAGCACAGCAAGAAGGTGCAGAGCAGGAGTAGCTGCTGACCCCACGTTCTCCTTCGCTGCGGTTTGCGGGCGCTCCCCCACTCGATGTCGCTCCCTCCTCAGGATGAGGACCCCGCAGGGCCGCAGCACCCCATCTCCCTGCTCCCCAACGCAGCAGCCCCTGTGCTGGAGGACTTCCGTGTTGTTGGCCCCGCCCCCGAAGGTCTTTCCTGCCCTTAGCCCCGCCCACGAAGATATCCGCGTTCTAGGCCCGCCCCTGGAGGACTTCCGCGTTCTAAGCCCCGCCCTTGGAGGACTTCCCCGTCCTAGTCTCGCCCCTGAAGGACTTCCGTGTTATAGGCCCCACCCCTGGAGGACTTCCGCGTTATAAGCCCCGCCCATGAAGGACTTCCATATTCTAGGCCCGCCCCTGAAGGACTTCCCCGTCCTAGGCCCGCCCCTGGAGGACTTCCGTGTTGTAGACCCCGCCCCTGGAGGACTTCCATATTCTAGGCCCGCCCCTGAAGACCTTTTGCACCTTTGGCTCCGCCCCTGGAGAACTTCCGCGTTCTGGCCCCGCCCCTGAAGGACTTCAGCGGCCTCGGTCCCGCCCCTGAAGGACTTCCGCATCCTCGGCCCCGCCTCCGGCGGCTCTGCGCACGCGCGGAGGCCATCTTGGCAGCGGACCCCGGGCCAACGCCGGTGCTTCTCTCCCGCGGGTGAAACCCTCCGTGTAGACCTCCACTCCAGTGCCTTTTCCCCGGTGAGTCCGTGTCTCTCGGCCCCGCGGAAGCTCGGCCGTCGTCCCCGCGGGCGGGCGGGCGAGGGTCGTGGGCGCCGCGGCAGAGCGGGTCCGGCCCGGGGCCGCCGCGCGATGACTGTGCGGCGCTCCTGGGCGACGGGCTGGCCCCTGGCGGCCGCCGTAGGCCGGCGCGGCGCGGGCTCGCGGGGCCGGGGCGAGGTGGGCGGCGCCGGGGAGCGCGGCTTCCGGCCCGGGAAGAGCCGCGCCGGGCACCGACCCGGGGGCGCGGTCACCCTCACGTGCCAGCGGGGCCTGGCGGAGCCCCTGCGCCTGGGGCCCTGCAACCCCGCGCCCGGTGTCCGGTTTGGGGAGACGGGCGGCGGGGTCCGAGGTCCGGCTTCCGCCCCGAGTCACGCCGAGCCCCGGAGAGGCCGTGGCCGGTCCCGTTAGCGGGGACGCCGAGCTTGCCGCCCTCCCTCCCTCCCTCGGGGCGAGGTAAAAAGTCCAGATGCTATTTTTTAAAAAATCACGGCTCATTCCCTTTGTGCTCCGAAGGGATCATGGTCACCGGGATGACCCAGCCGGACCCTCTTTATTTTACTTTAGTTTTTTTAAAACTGGCTTCGGAGAGAGGGAAACCGAAAGGGAAAGAGAAACGCATGGATGTGGGAGAGAAGCGTCGGTCCGGGGGCCCAGAGCCCGGGGGCGAGACCCGCCGCCCCTCGGTGTGCACGGGGGCCGGCGCGCCAACCACTGAGCCACACGGGCCGGGGCCTGACCCCCCCCCTCCCCTTCTTCCCCGCCCCGTTCCTCCTCTTAGACCCGCGGGTTCACAGCCTTTGCGCTGCCTCTGTCATGTCTCACGTGGGCTCGTTGTCTGTGTTGTGTTGTTTTTTTCCGGGAAAAGTACTTTCCCCACATTGAGCTGTGTGTCCCCTGACCTGTGGACAGGGACGGCCTGACCCCTCCCGGGTAGCCACCACCTGAAGTCAGCCAGGTGAGGTCCAGCCGGTGTGGTTCAGTGGACAGTGTCATCCCGGGGACTGCAGGGTCCCGGGTTCGATTCCGGTGAAGGGCATGGACCTCAGCTGTGGGATTGGTCCCAGCCCTGGTCAGGGCACCTGCTGGAGGCAACCCATCAATGTGTCAATGTGTGTCTCTCACATCTTTCCCTCTCTCCCTCCCTCCTTTCCTCCCTCTCTCCTTCCCTCCCTGTCCCTTCTTCTCTCTCTAAAAAAAAGAAAAATCAATGGGAGAAATATCCTCTGGTGAGGATCAACAGCAAAATAAAAGAGACATTGGACTTGATCATGATTTAAAAAAATAAGCCAAATGAATGGAGTGGACAAAATATTTTTAAAAAAATATATTTCTTGCCGAAACCGGTGTGGCTCAGTGGATAGAGCGTCAGCCTGGGGACTGAAGGGTCCCAGGTTCAATTACAGTCAAGGGCATGTACCTTGGTTTTCGGGTACATCCCCAGTGGGGGATATGCAGCAGGCAGCTGATTCATGTTCCTAACTTTATTCTTCTCTCTTCCTCTCTGTAAAAACTCTATAAAATATATTTATATTTTAAGTCATTAAGAAATATATATATATTTCTTTACTGACTTCGGAGAGAAAGGGAGAGGGAGTGAAAGATACATCAGTGATGAGAGAGGATCATGGATTGGCTGCCTCTTGCACGTTCCCCACTGGGGATGGAGCCTGCAACCTGGGCCTGTGGCCTTGACCAGAATCGGGACCCTTCAGTCTGCAGGCCGACGCTCTATCCACTGAGCCACACTGGCCAGGGCCAAAAAAACATTTTTTAAAGTCATGGACATGCTTTTTCTAAACTCTGAGTTTTGTTTTAATAAGGACCCTGTTTTCCCTTCGCAGGACCTGTAACGTTCAGGAAACATGGTAAGTCGTACACCTGCCCGGAAGCTGTCGCCGGACACGGCGTGGCGCTGGTACGCAGCTCGGGCGCGGGTGGTGGGTGAGGACGGGGAGGGAGGACTGGTGCACGGCGGCTGTGGGCTAGATGGGTCGGGGCTGCCCTCCGGGCCGGACTCACCGTGTGTTTGCTTTGCAGTCTCGGAGATATGACTCCCGGACCACGATCTTCTCCCCGGAAGGTAAGGCTGATCCTGTCCGTCGTCTCAAAACGTGTCCAGGGTTTGGCTTTTTGAGAGGCGGCGGCGGGGAGGAATCCAGACCCTTTTTTTTTTTTTTAATATATTTTATTGATTTTTTACAGCGAGAAAGGGAGGATAGAGAGTTAGAAACATCAATAGAAACATCGACCAGCTGCCTCCTGCACGCCCCCTATTGGGGATGAGCCCACAACCAAGGTACGTCCCCTTGACCGGAATCGAACCCGGGACCCTTGAGTCCACAGACCGACGCTCTATCCACTGAGCCACACCGGTTTCGGCTATACACCTTTTTTTTTTTTTTTTTTTTTTTTAATATATTTTATTGATTTTTAACAGAGAGAAAGAGAGATAGAGACCTAGCAACGTCGATGAGAGAGAAACATCGACCAGCTGCCTCTTGCACACCCCCTTGCCAGGGATGTGCCCACAGCCAACATACATGCCCGTGACCGGAATCGAACCTGGGACCTTTCAGTCCGCAGACCGACGCTCTACCACTGAGCCACACCGGTTTCGGCGGCTAGACACCTTTTTATCGTTGCTCATCCTCTCTGCTCTCTCGTGACCGTGGTCACGGGTGATTCCACGCCACACGGAGCGTGGAGGCGGGACTCTGCGCGTGGCTGCGTGTCCCCGCGGACTCTCGGGCTCGCCGGCGTCCGGCGTCTCACCGCTCGCCCCCCGCAGGCCGCCTGTACCAGGTGGAGTACGCCATGGAGGCCATCGGCCATGCCGGCACCTGCCTGGGGATCCTGGCCAACGACGGCGTTCTGCTGGCCGCTGAGCGGCGCAACATCCACAAGCTGCTGGATGAGGTCTTCTTCTCCGAGAAGATCTACAAGCTCAACGAGTGCGTGAGCGCGGGCGCGGGTGGGGCACGGGCTCACGCAGTAGGACCGCGCCGGCTCGGGCTCACACCGTAGGACCGCATCTGCTCGGGCTCACGGAGTAGGACCGCGCCGGCTCGGGCTCACACAGTAGGGCCGCGCCTGCTCTGGCTCACGCAGTAGGACCGCGCCGGCTCGGGCTCACGCAGTAGGACCACATCTGCTCGGGCTCACGCAGTAGGACCGCACGGCTCGGCCTCACACAGTAGGACCGCACGGCTCGGGCTCACGCAGTAGGGCCGCGCCTGCTCGGGCTCACGCAGTAGGACCGCATCTGCTCGGGCTCACGCAGTAGGTCCGCGCCGGCTCGGGCTCACACAGTAGGGCCGCGCCTGCTCTGGCTCACGCAGTAGGGCCGCGCCTGCTCGGGCTCATGCAGTAGGACCGCATCTGCTCGGGCTCACGCAGTAGGACCGCACGGCTCGGCCTCACACAGTAGGACCGCACGGCTTGGGCTCACGCAGTAGGTCCGCGCCTGCTCGGGCTCACGCAGTAGGACCGCGCCTGCTCGGGCTCACGCAGTAGGACCGCATCTGCTCGGGCTCACGCAGTAGGTCCGCACCGGCTCGGGCTCACGCAGTAGGACCGCACCTGCTCGGGCTCACGCAGTAGGACCGCGCCTGCTCGGGCTCACGCAGTAGGGCCGCGCCGGCTCGGGCTCACGCAGTAGGACCGCACCTGCTCGGGCTCACACAGTAGGACCGCACCTGCTCGGGCTCACACAGTAGGACCGCACGGCTTGGGCTCACGCAGTAGGACCGCGCCTGCTCGGGCTCACGCAGTAGGACCGCGCCGGCTCGGGCTCACGCAGTAGGGCCGCGCCGGCTCGGGCTCACGCAGTAGGACCGCACGGCTTGGGCTCACGCAGTAGGACCGCGCCGGCTCGGACTCACGCAGTAGGACCGCACCACTCGGGCTCACGCAGTAGGACCGCACCTGCTCGGCGAGGGCTGTTCCCTGAGGCATGAAACGGAGGGGAACAGGTTATGGTGTTTTTACTGGTGGAAACCTCTTTGAGGCTTGGGATCATGTGTAGTTTTTATTTTTTTATTTTATTTTATTTTTAAATATATTTTATTGATTTTGTACAGAGAGGAAGGGAGAGAGATAGAGAGCTAGAAACATCGATGAGAGAGAAACATCGATCAGCTGCCGCCTGCACGCCCCCCACTGGGGATGTGCCCGCAACCAAGGTCCATGCCCTTGACCGGAATCGAACCCGGGTCCCTTCAGTCCCCAAGCCAACGCTCTATCCATTCAACCAAACCGGTCTTGGCTGTAGTTTTTATTTTTATAAAATATATATATTTTATTGATTTTTTTTTACAGAGAGGAAGGGAGAGTTAGAAACATTGATAAGAGAGAAACATTGATCAGCTGCCTCTTGCACATCCCCCACTGGGGATGTGCCCGCAACCCAGGTCCATGCCCTTGACCGGAATCGAACCCGGCACCTTTCACTCTGCAAGCCGACGCTCTACCGCTGAGCCAAACCGGTTAGGGCCACGTGTAGTTTTTAAAAACATATATTTTGTTGATTTCGGAGAGGAAGGGAGAAGGAAAGAAGAGAGGGATAGGAACATCCAGGATGAGAGAGAATCGTGGATGGGCTGCCTCCTGCACGCCCCCCACTGGGGATGGAGCCCACAATTCAGGCCTGTGCCCTGACCGGGAATCGAACCCTGACCTGGTTCACAGGTTGATGCTCAACCCCTGGGCCAGGCGGGCCCGGGCTGTGTAATTCTTTTTAGGAGCAGGGCCAGGCACTTAATGGACAAACAGCTTTGTGCTGATAAGGTAACAGATTGGGGTTAAGTCCACGCTCTGCGCCGTACAAGCTGTGGCTTTGCAGCAATTGTCTAACTTCTCTGGGCCTCAGCGCCCCCTAGTGGTGGAGGCAGATTAATGAAGTGGAATAAAGCGTCAGCATGTAGCAGGCCCGCTCAGTACTTTTGGGAACGGCTGCTCGGGAATTCGGGTGCATTGAACTGACTCCCACCTCCTGGAGGTCGGGGAGCCCTGTCATTTGCGGGGGTCGGACAGCAGGCCTGCCTAGCTGGCGGGGCTGGATCTGCCACGAGAGCCTTGTGGGTGGTGGCGGTGAGTGCGGTTAGGGGCCTGTGAACTCTCGCCCAGGGCGTGTCCTCCTGCGCAGGCACTGTTGGTCCCGCTGGAGCCTGCAGGCGGCCAGGCGCAGTGACAGCAGTGTGGGCTCGGGGAGCGGGGCAGGGACAGGAGGTGCACCCTGTGACTGAGCCGAGCCCTGGTCCCCTCACTGCACCCCCAGCCGGGCCTTAGCAGGCGGAGACTCACTGCCCAAGAGCATGGGGGTCTCTCTGTCCAGCAGAGCCTTCCTCTGCGTCTCCCGGGACTTCCTTCACTTCCTGGTGCTGGTTCTGTCCGAGCGGTCCACGGTGAGGGTGGTGAATGCATCTGTGGGAGAGCTGAAGGGGCAGGTCTCCCTCCTGTCACCGGCACCAGGGTTATCCCACGACGAGAGCTGTCAGACAGAAGCTTCTGGGGCAGAAACAGCCGGCCCCTTCCCGGGGGACGTGGCCCTTGTGAGGGACATGCTCAGACGCCTCCCGTTCACACGTGTTCCTTCCCCCAGGGACATGGCGTGCAGCGTGGCGGGCATCACCTCCGACGCCAACGTGCTGACCAACGAGCTGAGGCTCATCGCACAAAGGTACGGGCATGGAGAGCCAGCGTGGCCTTCCTGAGGAGGACTCACAGATGGAAGCCGCTGCAAGTCTGTTCATTGAAAATGATGGTTTGTTTAAAAAACAAACAAAAAAACATACTTGTAAAGTATTATTGGTGTGGGAACGTTAGGATGTTGGCATTCCCCTGCCCGCATCCCCTTTCAAATGACACTGACTGCTCCAATGTCCCCACGGTGAGAATGTACGCGGAGTGGCCAGATGATGGTGATCTCTGAACGCATAATAACCTGGCCACTCAATGTGTATACAAAATATATATATACACACACACACACACACTAGAGGCCCTGTGCACGGGTGAGGTCTGGCCAGGGGCAGGGGACATGGGCGGTTGGCCGGCCTGCCTGCTGGTTGAACTCCCAGTTGAGGGGACCATTTGCATATGAGCCTTTTATTCTATAGGAGATGCACTGAGTGGCCAGATGATTATGCGTTGGGAAATATCAGAACCTGGCCGCTCCGTGTGTGTGTGTGTGTGTGTGTGTGCATGCGCACGTGTGTGTTTTAGGGGAAAAGTAACCAGCCATGTCCTCATCCCAGGTACTTGCTGCAGTACCAGGAGCCCATCCCCTGCGAGCAGCTGGTGACGGCGCTGTGTGACATCAAGCAGGCCTACACGCAGTTCGGAGGTACGGGGTTGGGGCGAGCTGTACGCCAGCGGGTGGACACGTGCTCTGAGTAAGGGCAGCTGTGAGGTGGTGAAAGGAAACTGAAAATTAAATGAGGAATAGCTGGCTCCCGTGGCGTAGATTGTCATGTTGTATTAATAGGCCATTGAGACCAAAATAGCGGGCTCAGATCTGGAAACACCGCTCTTTGCCTCACAATGGGACTCGGCACGGAGCCCGTGGCTAGTCCAGGCCTGGGAACAGAAGTGGGCGTTTGGACGGAGCTTGTCTGTGGCCAGAACCCAAAGCTGTCACGGATGCTCAGCCTCCCAGGACGGTCTCTGCCGCCTCGGAGCGCAGGTAACCATGGTGACCTGCGTCTGATGGCCGCTCTCCGCGTTTTCTGTTACAGGGAAGCGACCCTTCGGGGTGTCGCTGCTGTACATCGGCTGGGACAAGCACTACGGCTTCCAGCTCTACCAGAGCGACCCGAGCGGCAACTACGGCGGCTGGAAGGCCACCTGCATCGGCAACAACAGCGCCGTGAGTCCGGGGCCGCCGCCATTTTTAACGGCGGTGAATGGGAACGGTGGTCAGGGGGGCAGGGACCTTACGCCTGGGACTGCTGTTGGTGACGGAGCCACAGGGCCTGCCAGACCGCTGGGGTTTGTTGCCAAAGGAAGTGCTACTTTTTTAAGATGTTTTTATTGATGTTAGAGAGGAAGGGAGAGGAAGAGAGAAACATCCATGATGAGAGAGAATCATGGATCGGCTGCCTCCTGAACACCCCACACGGAGGATGGAGCCTGCAACCCGGGCAGGTGGCCTGACCAGGACTCGAACCTGGGACCCTTCAGCCCACAGGCTGACGCTCTATCCACTGAGCCAAGCTGGCCGGGCTGTTCCTTAGAGTCTAAGTTCCTCTATTGTGGTGAGTGCTTCCCAAGGAACTCAGCACGTTCCCGAGTGAGTAATCTGATTGACTAAGAAATGTCTCTGAGCAGAGTGGTCCTCATTGATCTCGGACCTCTGTATTGATATTGCACTCGGAAAGGACTCTTCATCACGGCCTAAGTAATAGTGCTGGCTTATGAATGATGACAAACTTTAAAAAATATGTATTTCTATTGATTTCAGAGGGAGAGGGAGTGAGAGAGAGAGAGAGAAGCATCCATGATGAGAGAGAATCATGGATCGGCTGCCTCCTGCACGCCCCTACTGAGGATGGAGCCCACAAACCAGGCATGTGCCCCCTTGATCGGAATTGAACCTGGGACTCTCCAGTCCACAGGCCGATGCTCTGTCCACTGAGCCACACCAGCCAGGGCAAAATGCTGATTTCAGTGAGAAGTGGGGAAAATAGACGCAGCTTTTTTCACATCCTGGTTCTCAGACCCCTCCCTGAATTCTTGACGGGCCTGGCAGATCTAAGCCCCAGGAGCGTCAGTGCCCCCCCCCCTCCCCCATGGCTACCCTCCCCGCCATCCAATGGTTCCTGTGGGTTAGATGCCAATCTTAGTTCAGGCATCATCCCTCTGCCCCGGTCCTTTTCCCAAAAAACGGCGGGACTGATGGAGCCCTCTGCCGTGTCCCCAGGCGGCGGTGTCCATGCTGAAGCAGGACTACAAGGAAGGGGAGATGACCCTCAAGTCGGCGCTCGCCTTAGCCATCAAAGTGCTCAACAAGACCATGGACGTGAGCAAGCTCTCCGCCGAGAAAGGTGCGTCCCGGGGAGGGCCTGGCGCTCCTGGCCGGCCTGCGGTCAGGGGCCTCCCGTTCCCCGCGGGGACATGGCCTGGTTCCTCGTGGCCCGAGCGGCAGACGGCAGGGCTGCTTCCCGTCGGGGATCGACTTACCGACTTCGTGACGGCGTCTGTGTTCCTGTGTCCATATAGCATGTGTGTGGTTGCATGTTTATGTGTACGTGTGGCGTACTTTGCCAGAGGCGTAACGTGTGTGCGATGTGGGATCTCTGTTCTGAGTTTACTGATCTCGAATGTCACGCCCACGTCTGCAGTTTTATTTATTTTTTTAACTTATTTATTTTTAAATAAAGTTTATTGATTTTTTTACAGAGAGGAAGGGAGAGAGATAGAGAGCTAGAAACATCGATGAGAGAGAGTCATCGATCAGCTGCCGCCTGCACAACCCCTACTGGGGATGTGCCCGCAACCAAGGTCCATGCCCTTGACCGGAATCGAACCCGGGACCTTTCAGTCCGCAGGCGGACGCTCTATCCACTGAGCCACACCAGTTGCAGCCGCAGTAATGTTTTTTATTTTATTTTTTTAAGTCCCTTTTTAAAAAAATACATATACTTTTTTGTTTTTTTACAGAGAGGAAGAGAGAGGGATAGAGAGTTAGAAATATCGATCAGCTGCCTCCTGCACGCCCCCTACTGGGGATGTGCCCGCAACCAAGGTCCATGCCCTTGACCGGAATCGAACCTGGGACCTTTCAGTCCGCAGGCCGACGCTCTATCCACTGAGCCACACCGGTTGCGGCCGCAGTAATGTTTTTTAAAACGATGAACCAGCAGGTGCGTTTGTTCAGGTGACATCCTTGCCCTCAGAGGATGTCCGCCCTCTGCAGGGGCCCCGCCATCCCCTTCCCACTCCACCCTCCGGCTCAGAGTTTCTCCTGTAGATGTATGTCTGCTTTCGTGTCCACAGTCAGGTCAGGGGGCCTGCGCTTCACACCATTGTTTTGAAAAGCCCGTGAGAACCCCATGTCATTGCTGGTCAGAGGCTCCGCTGGGCCTGCAGAGGTTCCGGCAGGAAACGGGTCCCTGGCCGCCCGCTGAGGGGTTCGCATCAGCACCTGTTCGGTTGCCTGTGTCCGGGGTGCCATTGCGGCCGCTCGGAGGTGGGTTGGGCGGTAAGGGGACCAGACGTCCCGCTTTTGGCGGGACAGTCCCGATTTCTAATCATTTGGCGGGGCCGTTGTGAAAAACCGGGACTGTCCCGCCAAAGGCGGGACGTCTGGTCACCTTAGTGGGTAGGGAAAGGCATTTCAGTAAAAACGATGATGACGGTGCGTGAGATGGGGGTGTTTGGTCCCATAAAAACGCCCGTGAGGCGTATCGGGCACAGGTCCTGGGGGAGAGTGAGCAGGGGCGGGGGGGGGGGGGATGTGGAGGCGGCTGGCTGGGCCCCCCTCGCCGCGGGGCGTGCGTGGGGTGCGGCCATGACACTGTGTCGCTCTCTGCAGTGGAGATCGCCACGCTGACCAGAGAGAACGGGAAGACGCTCATCAGGGTCCTCAAGCAGAAGGAGGTGGAGCAGCTGATCAAGAAGCACGAGGAGGAGGAGGCCAAGGCCGAACGGGAGAAGAAGGAGAAAGAGCAGAAGGAGAAGGACAAGTAGAGAGGAGCCGCGCTCCAGCCCGGCCCCGCGGCGCGCCAGGCCCCTGCCCGCGGGGAGCGCCGGGCGGCCTCCGGGCGGGGAGCGGCTGCGGCAGCTCGTCCATCGATGACGGTGGCTCTCCATGGACCTTTTATCCCCTCCCCCTTTTGGGAATAAAACTTGGGAAGATGGACGTGATGGAGGGAGCACTGGCCGTGATTGTAGCCCGGACGGGGGGGTCTGGTTTTCCGTGCGTCCGTGTGCCCTGGCGGCGGCGGCTGCTTGCACGCAGGGCGTTAAGGGGACAGAAGTGAGTGTCCCGAGAAGGGGGAGGCTGTCCCCTGCCACGGTCGGACCCGGGCCCAGGCCTCTGGCGGGAATGTGGGGCGAGGGGAGGGGGGGCTGTCCGGTGAGGTCAGAATCGCACTCCTCGGGGCTCGCCAGCCTTGGGTGTTGATGGATCTTCCTCTTGGACGTACATACATGTGCACATGCATCACGGGTACAGCACGCAAAGCCCGGTGACGGCGAAAGGACGGTACCCACTCCCCTCTCAGCAACAACACTATCCACACTTCTCGCCCCGTGTGTCCCTTTCACGTTCCGTCCTCCCTCCCCTGAGGGCGCAGCTCCCTGGCTTCATCTCCTCTCCCTAGGGGCCCTCGGCCTGCCCCTGTCCCTCTGTCCCTCCGCTCCGGGGGCTGTGTGCCCTCAGCCTGTCCCTGTCCCTCTGTCCCTCCGCTCCGGGGGCTGTGTGCCCTCAGCCTGCCCCTGTCCCTCTGTCCCTCTGCTCCGGGGGCTGTGTGCCCTCAGCCTGTCCCTCTGTCCCTCCGCTCCAGGGGCTGTGTGCCCTCAGCCTGTCCCTCTGTCCCTCTGCTCCGGGGGCTGTGTGCCCTCAGCCTGTCCCTCTGTCCCTCCGCTCCGGGGGCTGTGTGCCCTCAGCCTGTCCCTCTGTCCCTCCGCTCCGGGGGCTGTGGGCCCTCAGCCTGTCCCTGTCCCTCTGCTCCGGGGGCTGTGTGCCCTCAGCCTGCCCCTGTCCCTCCGCTCCGGGGGCTGTGTGCCCTCAGCCTGCCCCTGTCCCTCTGTCCCTCCGCTCCGGGGGCTGTGTGCCCTCAGCCTGCCCCTGTCCCTCTGTCCCTCCGCTCCGGGGGCTGTGTGCCCTCAGCCTGCCCCTGTCCCTCTGTCCCTCTGTCCCTCCGCTCCGGGGGCTGCGGGCCCTCAGCCTGTCCCTGTCCCTCTGTCCCTCCGCTCCGGGGGCTGTGGGCCCTCAGCCTGTCCCTCTGTCCCTCTGTCCCTCTGTCCCTCCGCTCCGGGGGCTGTGTGCCCTCAGCCTGCCCCTGTCCCTCTGTCCCTCTGTCCCTCCGCTCCGGGGGCTGTGTGCCCTCAGCCTGCCCCTGTCCCTCTGTCCCTCTGTCCCTCCGCTCCGGGGGCTGTGTGCCCTCAGCCTGCCCCTGTCCCTCTGTCCCTCCGCTCCGGGGGCTGTGGGCCCTCAGCCTGTCCCTCTGTCCCTCCGCTCCGGGGGCTGTGTGCCCTCAGCCTGCCCCTGTCCCTCTGTCCCTCCACTCCAGGGCCATGTCCTCGGGCGGCCTGGTGGCCTGCAGGTGTCCAGAGATGGGCTGAGCCATGTTGGGTCTGTGGGTGAGGAAGGGGTGCTGAGGATCCCGCCACGGGGAGCCCCTGCTGAGCTCTCGCCCCCTCCCCCCGAGTTGTCGGAGGTTGCTGCTGCTGGGATGGCCAGTTCCCCTCCAGCTAGTCCTGTGGATACTGGCGTCCCGCCCCACACCCCCGGACAAGAGGAGACATGACGTGGAGCCCAGTGTCCAGGTCAACAAGCTCTGACATCAAGAGCTTCTCTCTGTTTCCAATACTAGAGGCCGGTGCATGACATTTGTGCATGGGGGGTGGGGGGGTGTCCCTCAGCCCAGCCTGTGCCCTCTCACAGTCCGGGGCCCCTCAGGGGGTCTCCGCCTGCGCGCTTAGGCCGGCTCCCTGCCACCACTGCTGCGTTCGCCAGTGTGAGCCCAGCTCCTCCGTGGAGTGCCTGCCCCCTGGTGGCTAATGTATGTCATAGTGACTGGTCGTTCCACCATTGGGTTCATTTGCCTATTAGGGTTTTATTACTTTTAATATGTTTTTTATTGATTGATTGATTGATTGATTGAGAGAGAGAGAAGCACCTACTGAGGATCAAGCAGCCCAGGAACATGCCCTGACCAGGAATTGAACCCTGACCTCCGTTTTCATAGGTTGACGCTCCAGGCGGGCCAAGAGTTTAAATCTGTCCTCAGGCCCTAGCCTGTTTGGCTCAGTGGATAGAGCTTTGGCCTGTGGACTGAAGGGTCCCAGGTTCAATTCCGGTCAAGGGCATGTACCTTGGTTGCAGGCACATCCCCAGTGAGGGGTGTGCAGGAGGCAGCTGATCCATGTTTCTCTCTCCCTCTCTCTAAGAAATCAATAAAATATATTTAAAAAACAGTAACAAAAAAATCTTAAGAATCAATGGGAAAATATCCTTAGGTGAGAATTTAAAAAAAGAGGCGTTTCTGACCCCCCATTCTAGAAGGTCCTTCCCCAGCCCCTAGCCAGGTCGCTCAGTCAGGGCATTGTCCTGATACGCCAAGGTTTCCGGTTCCATCACATGTCACAATCAATCAATGGATGCATCAATACCTGAAGCCACACATTAATGTTTCTCTCAAATCGATAAAATCTTGACCAAAGTAGAATCCCCGGAAAAAAACATAAAATCCAGGAGTTTGGGGCCACGGTCTCTCTCATCTGGCCTCTCCTGGCTTTGAGTGTATCTTCAATAAACCCCACTTGACTTGAATCTCATTCCCACTGGCCTTAAAATCTTTTTTTAAAAATATATTTTATTGATTTTTTACAGAGAGGAAGAGAGAAGGATAGAGAGTTAGAAACATCGATGAGAAAGAATCATCGACCAGCTGCCTCCTGCACACCCCCCACTGGGGATGTGCCCGCAACCAAGGTCCATGCCCTTGACCGGAATCGAACCCGGGACCTTTCAGTCCGCAGGCCGGCGCTCTATCCACTGAGCCACACCGGTTTTGGCTAAAATCTTTTTTAATTGACCAGGAGCACCGAGCTCCCGGCCAGTAACCCAACCCGGCCCCACCGGCCGGACCCCGAGCCTGTCCAGGAGGGCCCTTTCCCTGGCTTCTCACTGGCCCGGCTCCCCACCGAGTCCCTCTCCCGTGACCCGGCCCTTCCTGGCCTCACAGTCCCCGGCTTTCCTAAACGTCTTCTAAGGAAAAAAGAGAAAAAGCAGAATCCACCAACTCTTCCTTTTCTATTTATTAGCCTCAAGAATGGTGATCACGCCCTGGCCGGTGTGGCTCAGTGGATAGAGCGTCGGCCTGTGAACTGACGGGTTCCGGGTTTGATTCCGGTCAAGGGCGCATGCCTAGGTTGTGGGCTCATCCCTCGTGGGGGACGAGCAGGAGATGGCCCATTCGTGATTCTCATCGTGGATGTTTCCCCTCCCCCTCGCCCTTCCCCTCTGATATCAATAGAAGTATATTTAAAATTTTTTCTTTCAAGCCCCAGCTGGTGTAGCCCAGTGGATAGAGCGTTATAGCCTGCGACCTGTAGGGTCTCGGGTTCGATTCTGGTCAAGGACATGTGCCTCAGGTGCAGGCTCCTCCCCAGCACGGAGGCCACCAATGGACAGGGCACATGCAGGAGGCCACCAATCAATCTCTCCTTTTCTCTATCTCCCATCAGTGTTTCTCTCTTCTCTCTGACTCTCTCTCTCCCTTCCACTTTCTCTAGAAATCAACGGAAAAAATATCCTGATTCCGGTCAAGGGCATGGACCTTGGTTGCGGGCACATCCCCAATAGGGGGTGTGCAGGAGGCACCTAATGGATGTTTCTCTCTCATCGATGTTTCTAACTCTCCCTCTCCCTTCCTCTCTGTAAAAAATTAATAACACATTTTAAGAAAATAAAATAAAATCCTCAGGCAAGAATGAACAACAACAACAAAAAATTCTTTCCTGGCTCATCACTCTCAGATCTGGCATTTAGGGAGCACAGGATCCAGCTCCTTTGCTGAAACCAGTGTGGCACAGTGGATAGAGCGTCGGCCTGCAGACTAAAAGGTCCCAGGTTCGATTCTGGGCGGGAGCATGCACCTTGGTTGCGGGCACATCCCCAGTAGGGGAACGTGCAGGACGTAGCTGATCGATGTTTCTCTCTCATTGGTGTTTCTAGCTCTCTCTCCCTCTCCCTTCCTCTCTATGGAAAATCAATAAAAATATATTTTTTAAAAAGGAAACAAAACCTTCCTTTGGAACAGGAGCTGGCTTGTTCCCAGGACACACCCTGACACATACTCTGCGCTTCAGTGGAGTGTCATTTCCTGTCTACTTGCGTGTTTTCCCGTCAGTAATTGGGTTTGGGGCATTGTGCTCTATTTATTCATTTATTTTTAATCCTCACCGAGGCTATGTTCCCACTGAGTTATAGGGAGAGTAGAGGAGAGAGGGAGAGACAGAAAGATCGATGGGAGAGGGACACATGGATGGCTTGCCTCCTGCACCTGCCCAGGCTGGGGAGGAGCCTGCAACCCAAGGACAAACCCTTGACCCGAATCGAACCCAGGACCCTTTGGTCCGCAGGCCGACGCTCTACCCACTGAGCAACACCAGCCAAGGCTGGAGCATGGTGCTATCTTTGCGGTTATGAAATCCCAATGGGGCTGCTCAGTGTTAGAAATGATGGATGTTTTAGCCGAAACCAGTTTGGCTCGGCCTGCGGACTGAAAGGTCCCGGGTTCGGTTCCGGTCAAGGGCATGTACCTTGGTTGCGGGCACATCCCAGGTAGGGGGTGTGCAAGAGGCAGCTGATCGATGTTTCTAACTCTCTATCCCTCTCTCTTCCTCTCTGTAAGAAAATCAATAAAATCTATTTTTAAAAAAATGATGTTTTCATGATACAATTCTATGCACGACTATTTCGTTATTACAATCTAATAAAAGATGGACCATTCATTTCC